TGGAACAATAGAGGAGATTTCTTCTCCCACCCCACTTAACCTATTTCTGTGATAGGCTCAGCTTTGTATTCCTGTGGTATTCTCTTAAAAGGTTTCACCCAAAATTAAGGGCTGTTTGTGAATACGGGGAATACACAAGGCAATAGGCAACTGCTGAGCAACAGGCCTCCCAAGCAAACTTTGGAAGAGTGGCCACAGATCCATGTGCTGCTGAATGAAACTCCCGGGTGCTTTTAGAAAGTTCCAGATGCTTTCAGTCACCTAGTTCAGCGCTGATGCAGCCAAGGTGCCAACTTCCCCGATCTAAAGACCACTTATTTTTATTTATTTTATTTTATTATTTTATTTAATTTAAAAAATCTTATTATTTTTATTTTAGTGTTTTAATTTTATTTCCTTTTGCAAATTAATGTATTTCTTCCCATACAAGTCTGTTTTCCTTGTGGGGAGCAGAAAGTAGCTAGAGTAACCAAGAGGCAAAGAGGAAAACAGCCTTTGCCTATAAATTAGTTTTCACTGGCTCCTTTTTCCCCAAAGGCCAGAGGCTGATTGTGGTTTAGGAAGAAATACAGCAATTTGGGATTATGCATGGATAAAACAGAGTTATCCTCATGAGCTGATGACATGTCATCATATATTACAATCCCATGGATATGAATTTGGACTGGGATTGTGGATGCAAAGTTCAGCAGATCTGGCAAATAATTTACAGTGTAAAATGATTGTCTTTATTGAAGAACGTCACCACGTAGACAGGGGAATTAGGGGAAAAAAACCCTGGTGATTTATAGGTTACCACAGCAGTCAATGTTGAAGGAGGAGGCAGCAGACTGGGTTTTATCTGCTTCCTGAGATACTGGGATATGTGGTAAGTAGATAGAGGGTATTTTTGGTGTGCTGCTACCACTTTCCTTCTAATAGACCCCAACCTGGTGTAATTAATCTGCCAGTTAGCAACGTCATGTGTACAGCCGGGGTTGTTTCGGCTGCGCTGAGCTGCCAGGGACACGCTCTGCGATGGTGGCTGCAGTGCATCTGCTGGAGGGGGCTGCCAGCGCGGGTCAGCAGCACACCCTCACCAAGCTGCCCTGTGGAGGACCGCCAGCACCATGGGCACAAAAAGCACAGCTGGGCATCACCTCCTGTGCTGGTTTTGGCTGGGATAGAGTTAATTTTCTTCACAGTAGCTAGTATGGGGCAATGTTTTGGATTTGTGCTGAAAACAGTGTTGATAACACAGGGATGCTTTATTTACTGCTGAGCAGTGCTGACACAGCGTCAAGGCCTTTTCTGCTTCTCACCCCACCCCACCAGCGAGGAGGCTGGGGGGGGCACAAGGGGTTGGGAGGGGACACAGCTGGGACAGCTGACCCCAACTGACCCAAGGGGTATTCCAGACCACAGGACGTCACGCTCAGCGTATAAAGCTGGGGGAATAAGAAGGAAGGGGGGACATTCAGAGTGATGGCGTTTGTCTTCCCAAGTCACCATTAGGCGTGATGGAGCCCTGCTTTCCTGGAGATGGCTGAACACCTGCCTGCCCATGGGAAGTGGTGAACGAATTCCTCGTTTTGCTGTGCTTGCATGCATGGCTTTTGCTTTACTTACTAAACTGTCTTTATCTCAGCCCACGAGTTTTCTCACTTTTTGCCTTCTGATTCTCTCCCCCATCCCACTGTGAGGGAGGTGAGTGAGTGGCTGTGTGGGGCTTAGTTATCGGCTGGGGTTAAACCATGACACCTCCCGACTGCCTTTGCCATGCTTGGAGATACTTCATCACGACACAAACTTGTTGCTTTAAGTAACAGCTCTTGCTTTGAGCTCTTTTAGGTTAGCAACTAGTTGTAATTACCAACACCTGATATGGAAAGACATCTTAAAAGCGTAATTGGAAAAACAAAGACTTCATGTCTTTCTGCAATTAAAGATAACATGTGACTGAGTATGGTAATGCCATTAAAATGTACCTCTTCCAAGGTTTTGGTCCTTCTAAGGACAGAGAGAGAGAGAAACACAGTGGGTAAGAAAAATTACACTACTGCAGATAGTTTAGGTTGCTGAGGACCAGGGTCCCCTTATAGGTCTGTACCAGGCACCTCATCAGGCCCTTGATGTCTCTGCTTATGGTCATTTTCGTTGATGTTAAGTGGAAGCAGGGGAAGATGTTTTACAGACAGGGAAACTGCATTTTCAGGTTGTGAAACTGCTAACGATATAGAGAATCAAGAAAGGAAGAAAGAAGAAACTGCCTGGAGCACTGAAAGCAGGCGCTGCTCGGTACCATGCTCAAAGTCCTGGGGGAAGTGGTGGAAGGAGTTCTCTTGCACGAGGTGGAGGAGATGGTGTGGGTGAAGCAAAGACTGCTTGCTGTGCCATGGGGACACCTTTTCGTTCCCTACTGAAAAAAACCCGCTGCTTGAGCACCATGGAACAGGGCTTCCAAAACCAAAATAAGCCACAAACGTGATGGTCCATAAATTACTTTTAAAAATCTTTTTAATGAAGAAATAATTCCATTCCAAAATATAGACACACAATTAAATAGTTTAATCACTTCAAAATATAACATGTCCCCATTAGGTTCCAACACACACACACACACAAAACAATACTTAACAGCAATACAAAAAACCCATACAATAGCAGTTCTGTTACAATACCAATGAATATCGTGACATCTTTAGTGTCTCTGTATCTGTCTCAAGTGGTGTCAAGTACAGTAGTTTTAAAAATGTCTTACAGTTAGTAGCCTCAAGATGTAACTCTTCATACTTTTTTTTTTTGGTTCAAAAGTAAAAATGCCCTTTTGCCTTCAGGACACAGTGGAGTGCTTGTTGTTCACAGCTCCGTCTGCTGAATTGAACCAACGTGATTACAGCAACCCGAGGTTGCAATATTTACAAGGTCTATCTACAGTAATTGCCAAGAACCAATAAGGATGGGAGAAGATGACTGAAAGTAAAGGCGGACACACTTATGATAAATTATGATGCAACAATTTGGCTCATGCATATAAGAAAATACATATTATATCACAACAAAGGCCACACACCTTTTTATGCAGTTTAGTTAACATTACTACTTACAGACAACCCATTCTCCACCTTCGCTTTGGACATTCAAGGACCCTATACATCTTCACATCCCTGTCTCCTGATTCCAAACCACTGGTTTCCCTCCAGTGACAGTAAAACCACCCGGAGTTTCGACTGCTGTGGTGGGCCATTGGTAGTTAAGAAAAGGCCCACACCAGGGACCTCTTCTGTAACTCTGTTTGTTTCAATGACCACAAACCACGACCAAAATAATATTCAGCAAGCAGACAAAGACCAGCTGGGCGAAAACGCAGCCAGCTTAACAGTTGGAAAATGCTTAAAATAGATATTTGGAGAGCCAAGTAAGAGACGCTTCATCTCAGAACTCCAGGGCGTAAGGGACCCATAGCTCTGCTGGGGACCACCTTGTTGACACCAGCCTGAGAGAAAGGCGCTTGATCCGTCAACTTTTTTCCTTACTCCTAGTCCGGAAGCCCTTGCAATGGATTTATTCTATTGCATCTATTTTAAGCATAGTGATAATGAGCACGCAGACATTAAGATGATGGGAGGGATCTATTACTCTGGGTACAGTTAAACATGACATGGGTTGAATTAGTCAGCCATTGCATGTAGCTGTGTTCTAGCTTGTTTTATCTCTGTTCAGGAAATGCTTGCCTGGAATCCTGAGCTGACAGCAACATCTACAGCTTCACTGGAGTAGCTTTAAACGTGGAGTGCTAGGCACTAGTGGAGGCTCACCCATTCCTGAGAGGAGGTTGGAGGAGGGGGCATCGGAGGATATGGTGCCAGCCTTGCCAGGACGGCACATATCCCAGGAGCAAAGACCAGCGACTGCAAAAATGAAAAGCTTACATGAAGATATCTGGATGCCTTAGTATGCATTTGGATGTCCGAGACCAAGCCCAGATACGCAAGAAGATGCGGACAAGAGATCTGCATACGCAATAATACAATATGAAAGTGAAAAATGGCAGCAGCTCTTTCAAACAGATACTCATTCCCAAACGCACAGTGCCCAGGGAAACAGCCACGAGCCTAGAGAATGCCTGCAAACAAGTGGACTTACTGGGTCGAGCTACATAGCAATCTCACATAAATATGGCAGCGTACATCCACGTCACCATGAAAGCGAGGACAGACAAACCACATTAACCTGCTTTAGATGAGTATCTCATCACTTGCTGTAGGCAAACTGTGCTGGTGTGAAATATCTGTATGAAACACCACTGTTTTCAGGGCTGTTAGTGTCACTTCAGGTCAGCCAGATACTGGAAGCTGTAATATTGTATTAGGGCAGTAAAATTACATTAGCGCAGAGGTCATCCCGAGCTCACACACTGCGCTTCTCAGGAGGGCTGCGCGGCCAGCACGTAACGCTGCACTGTGCTACTGCCCGGCTTCTGGCCTAGCTGTTCCTCGCCTGGCTCCCATTTCTCTGCACGGCAGTGCCTATGTGCCATACCGGTGTCATCTTTATTTCCAAGCAGTAGTATGTTGTGGGGAGGGCATTACAGCTAGCTTGTGTCAATCCCTGCTCAGGAGTATCTGCAGGTTTTTAGTCACAGCAGAGCCAACACTTTTTAGTTAGCAATCTGACTGCCTAACCCCAAATGGCCAGGTAAGCCCCCTTTCTCCTGAAATGCCTTTATACTTGAAACATACTAAACCGGACAAAACTCCAATTCTGTAACTGTATGCCTGTCCTTTCGAAAAAATCCATCGCTTTTCTTGTGCTTTTCACTGATAGCTATTTCTCCATCCAGCTCCGAAAGAGTCTCACTACATATTTCCAAGAGTGCATGCAGAACATCTGGTGGCTGGCTAAGGCAATACACATTCGGAAATAAAAAGAAAACAGTTGCAAGCGCACTTTAAGCCTGTACATTTAAAGCTGAAGGCCTCGAAAATAACATAATTGGGGGGGGGAGGGAAGGAGGAGGGGCAGAGAGATGGAAAGAGCCGGTTTGTTGAACACATGCTTACTAAAGCTAAAACATCAATGAAACAATACCATGGAGGATTATACGTAACATCAGTCAGTTCAGGGATCTTATGGCACCTGTGGTTTATAAACAGCTTTAGCAACGAGTATTTCAAAACATAGTTCACAGTTTTAAGAAGATCTGTGCTGATTTAAAAACTAGATTCTATATCATTTGAATGTCACCTTTTGTATATGATATCTATTTGGAAAAAAAATATTTACACTAACTTCTATGGCTGATTTGTTAGATTATTTTGAAAGAAACATTCCTAAGTTACACATTAGCCCTAAATTAGAGAGGTTTTTTATTAATATTATTAATTATATTACTATTATTATTTTAGTACATTTTGTATAAGTCTTAATTTAAAGACTTGCAAACAAATTGCAAATATAGTCTGGTACTTTGCTTTTTGGGCTACTAGATATATACACTCAGGAGTATAATCATTCAGTGTTAAATGCATAATTGTAGCTTTTTATTTCTTCTGTGGAAAAAATGTACAGTGTATAGTAAACCAATCTACTAAAATCTCAAAGTATTCAGAAATCAAATTTCTATCTATAAACAGTATTGTCATTGTAAACTGAACAGGTTCAATATCATGTGCAAAGGGTTTATGTGAGTTATTAATACCGCCATCCTTTGTAACAGCAGTATGTACATCAGTCTGTTTTCTTCACCGGTAATGAGCCATGTTACAGAAGATGTAGCTAATATAAGTTAGCTTTAAACAAAAGTCTTGTTGTCAAAAACACACATCTACAAACTACAACTCTTAGAACAAAAGTACTGTGCTACAGTCCTCAGAACTTAGTTATGTGATTTTTTTGTCAAGAGACGCTGCACCTCTTGGTTCCACTCTTCTGTGAAGTTTGCAGCCGAGTTTTCTTCATCGTCTGTCCGAAAGCAGCTCTCCTCATCATCAGTTCTTACATAGCTTTCGTTGTCTGTCTGACTGCAGCTTGCCTGTTGAGAAATGTTTAGGGAAGGCTTTTAAAAGGAGTGCTGGTTTAAGATGCTGCACCCACACAGGCAGAGCAAGTAAAGCCTCTGCCTGCTGCTTTATCAAGAGAAAAAAGGAGAAGCTGGCCAATTCCTGTGGTTATCCCTGAAAAAGTCAGAAAACCGAAAAAGCCATTCTACCATAGGTATTTCAGCTGTGAACAGAAACTTACAGGGCACTTGGGAAGTCGGAAACTCTTCTTGCCACGGGTGAGAAGACTGCTGCCTGCTCTGCTGTGGCACCCTGGGGTAACTGGGTCTACACTGACACAGATTTGTGGATGTTCCCACTTTCCCTTCCATTCTACCCTTCCAGGTTTCTCTATAAATAGATTATTGGTAACGAAACTATGGATTATTCCCTTTGTGCAACAGCATTCAGCCACCTTCACCATCAGGAGCTCCCTGCCACGTGTAAATGTCTTACCCTTAATTTACATGCTCAGGTGTATTTCCCTATGTCTAAAAAGAAACACAGTTACTTAAAAGGATGATTCTGGGTGCTATAGCTCATAAATAGCCCAATCTGCTGGTGCACCGATTTCTCCTTGGTGCTCCTCCACATCCTGAAGCATCAATAAGTATCTTAAATTTCTATATTGGAGGCATCAAAGTTTTAGCTGGTAATGGGAAATGCTTGACAGACGACTGCTGCTCTTCCTCGTAACTACGTCAGGATCTACGGGTCAGGTAATATTGCAAACTTCTGCTTTTGGCATATTTATCGTAAAGGCACTGTTTACACACTTGACCTTTCAGAGTTAAGGAGCTCATCCTTTTTCTCTTGAACTACCTCAGACAGAAAACCAATTCGCATTGCCTGAGGTCTGATAAATAACAGCATAAAAGACCAAACCCTACTGACACAAAATCTTTTCTACTCATTTCAGGCATAAAGCTGGTCTACAAGATGAGAGATGAAATGCAAATTACTTCAGCAAAAAAGAGTTAAATTAAAGCTGATGAATGAAGAAAGATCAGGTAGTTAAGCTTGCTGATTCTCCTTCCTGACATCATTTGATTGTATTAATTATTCAAGCACAAATGCTTCCATCTGATTCCTTAATACCTAAGCATCCCAAATGGTATGATGATCTTAATTTAGTATCTCCTTGTGTCAGGCAGTTACAAAAGACATAGCACTAATATTTTGTTGATGAATGGAAAGAATGCACTGCAAGTCAAGTGAGAGGTTTATAAAAAATTTCTGTGGTACATTTTAAACGAGTATTTTTTAAAAATCAGACATGCATCTGTACTGCTTAAGTCTGCAAATTAATTTGGAAATCTTAGTAAAAGAAAATCTTGCTCTTCACAAGTCAGCCAAAAAATGCAAATGAAAGGCATGGAAGAGGTCAGTTCTCAGCTGCCCAGGACTGATTTTTATTGAATCAATTTCAGGGTTATGTAAATACAGGTACATCTCATATTTCTTGATGGTATCATTATAAACCACAAGAGCAAAATAAAGAGTGGCTTGTGAAACACTGGATGCATTAAGATGCATTGATAGTACTGCTAAGTATATGGGTTTGCTTCGAATCTTCTGGATAAATTACTGCTCTTTGGTGGAGTGTGGAGAGGGTTATTCTAACTTCTCTCAAGGCTTCTGTCTGTTCCACAGCTAGCATTGGGACAGAGAGTTTTTCATACAAGAAATAGTGAGTACTAATGAACCTCAGAGCTCTAAATTCATTGCAGTGTTTTGGAAATGCCAGAATTAATTCCTAGTTAAGACTCGTATGATTTGGCATGTTATAAAACTGTTTCTTGATCTTTTCTGTAACTTAATCCACAGGTTCTTTTCTGTTACTTATCATTCAGCAATTTTCAAAAACCATTCCTATCACTTGTGTAATTTTAGAAATAAATTCGCAAAACTAAAGCTGCTTCTTCCCAGTTAACTCAGTCACAGTTCTTCTACAGCTTTTTTACGCCTACATGCTAAGAGGAGGAGGACTTAGGGAGAAAAATAAAGAGGAAAACCAAAATATAGCTGAGTGAATGTAGCAGACATTTTTGAAAATTACTGTGCTATCAGCCTGCTGTTATTTTCAAATGGAATGGTCCACATAATGCTGGTTTTTATGTATTTGTTCAGAAAAAAATGAAAAGAGACGCTGAATCATTTGGTTGTGCTAGCAGGGTATGACTTAGGGATGTGAGCAGTTCATCTAGTGCCTGTATCTTGCTTCTTCACCCCTGCATAGCTGACTTAGGAGGAAGAGGCTGAAGAAACTGGACTTGCTGAGGCTGGGGCAGAGGTGGCAAGGGAGGATCAGTTAGCAGCTATTTGAGGGGTAGTTACAAGGATAACAAAGCCAAAATCCTCTTGGTAGTGCTGAAGCACACAAAAAGGACAAATAACATGTTGGGAGGTTCAGGTTGGACATTAGGAAAAAATAAAAACCATGAGGAGGGTGGCACTGCGCTGGGCAGGGGGATGCCCAAAGAGATGGTGAAATTTCCATCTGTGGGGGTTTTAAAGTCTTTGCTAGAGAAAGCCATGGCTGACACGGTCTTGTGTTGGAGCTAGACCTGTCTCAGGTAGGAGACTAGACCGAACGATCCCCCCGAGGGTCCAGCCAACCACTGCACCTACTCCTCTGTGATTTCCCGAGCTCCTGGCATGAAGCCTGTGTGAGGAATGAACCGCAGTGCATGAGCTTTAAATGCAGCCAGTCAGCTCTGACTAGCAGCGTTTGGGGCTCTCCAGCCGAAGAGAGGCCAGGGCACAGCTGGGAAATGTGACCTCAGGCAGTGGGCACAGCAAATCTGAAACCTACACATCCATTAACGGTGGACTAGTAACCTGACTTGGACCCTGGGCTACGGGCCCTGTGTCTCATCTTTCCCAAACGGTAAATGGCCAGGTCCATGTCGCAAAGGGCTAAAAAAGTCAATGGCCAGCGAAGTGCACACTAGCTCTAAAATCTTATTTCTTTCCCAGAAAAAAACAGATGCAGGGCACTTTTGTCTTCACAGCACTTAAACAAATCACCTGTGCCCTTCGGCTTAACGAACAGTCCTGACAGCGGCACACGGGGCAGACTGGACTGACTGCACCATCTCCCTTGGCCCATGGGTTTTATCACCTGACATTTGGTAATATTCCTAATCTCTGCTGGTAAACATGAAAACAGAGTTTGGAGAAAAAGGGAAAAGGTGAGAGAAACATGAAAGTGTTACTCAGTAAGACTTCTGTCCTGGAAAAACAGTCAAGTTGAATAAATAATATTTTTCTTAACAATGCATTCATATCAAGAAGTTGAGGTAATTTGGGGTTTTTGTGTTTGAAAAATTACCACCTGTTTCAATACAAACCACTCAGTCACTTTTGCAATGGAAAATGTCACCCATAGCCACTCAAAGCCCCAGACCCACAATAATTTATGTGATAAGGTTTTGAGTGAGTGAAAGGCTTTGGAGCGGGAATGGAACTGAGTCTTTAATTGAAATTATTACATGTTTTTGTCAAGATACAGAAAATGTGATCACAGTAAAAAATTGAGAACGAAACCTCTAATAAAGACTCTTCCCCGTACTCCCTCTCAGTGGATGCTTTAGGTCTGATTTTTATAAGCTTTTCACACTTCCTTTTCTGTTATAATAATGCATATACATGAATTAGGCATGGCCAACTAAAATGTTGCTACGCCAGCACAAAGAAAGCATTGCTTTAGAAAATCTAGGAAATTGTAGGTATCGTGGGAACATGTCCACTGCACAAGTCGACAGCTCGTCATTGAAAATGACAACTTTTTAACCACTTACAGAGGTGGAGGCTTTCTGCTCCCATTGGCTATCCTGGGCAAAAGCCCAACTGCTATCAGGGGATAAAGGCAAAATAATGTCAAAGTTGCATGTTCACCTGATTTCAAGATCTGCCTAGAGCCTGCTGAAAACAAGCTCAAATTCATTCTGTTACTCTATTAAAAATTAAACAAGTGGTATTAAAGTACATTTAATGTAAAAAGTAAGCTGAAAACATGATTAAATTATATTTTATATATTACTGGAACCACTTGCTCTCTTGGGAATTTGTTATAGTAGATGTTATTTCAAAATCAATTCTAGAGAACTGTATATAGATCTTTTAAAAATGCAAATGCAAATAGAATGCAAAAAGCCTTAATCAAATAACATCAACACCACTTGTCCATGACTGATGAATGAAGAAATGAACATAACTCTGTGGCTGCCGATCAGCAGCAATATCACTCATATGAAGCTACAATAAACTGATCTCATTTTTCCCATCTGTTTTTCAAATAAACACAAATGTAATACTGTTGCAAGATAAGAAAGTCTGTTGGCTTTCTACCTCATATGGCCATACAGGCAACTGACTGTATTTGTATCATCATTGATTAATATTATCTTAGAAGTAAAAGCCTTGATGCAATTGCTAAGCTCCAAGCAAGAACCCGACATAAACAGCAAAAGCACTTTAGACATTGAGACTGGTATGAACTATTTTGGATTTAATTTTCCAAGGCTATGAAATATTGGTACCAAATAAAACAGACCAGATATGATAGTCTTCCACATTCACAAGAGAGTCAATCTTGAGAAGACTAAGGCACGCTTATCATGTGTAGACGTATTTATCACAATGTACACAGTTTGTTCTTGTGGTTATAGGTGAAGTGTCAAGTTCACCAGTTTTTGTTGCTAATTTCTATAGGGCCAGGATTTTACAGCTGGTGGGAATGTTTCAGTCTTTGATACTGCCTGAAGGGCTCCCTGGGGAGCTAAAAAGAGTTTCACTATGGAATTAACCAGAGCACAACGCTTTAAAAAATTTCTTTTTGATGGGGTTTCAAAAGGTTTCAGAAGTATCCAGGAGATAAGATAGTAGCTAAGTCTCAGATCTCTGCTAATTTGAGACAGGATACATATTTTCAAGAAAGCTAGGCTGTACAGCAGTAAGCGTTTCCCCACATCACTATGTTAACACTGCTTCCTAACAAAAAAGGAAACCTTAAATGGGATTGACTGAGCTTTATAATTCTAATGAAAAGGATTTTTTCCCACTTAATATTGCAAATAGTTTGTCTGAATGCTACTACCCTTTAAAGTCATAGTTATTCATAATTGTAATTAAATTCAGTTATATATACCATTTCCACTATATACATAAACACATACATTGTTGTTGAAAGATCTATTTTCCTTTTCATGTGACCTGATCTATAACTGACAACTGCAACAAAATAGAAGAAGAAAACTTATTTTTCTGGCTGTCAATGTTTAGGAAAATCTACATGTCTCAAGCTTTTAACAAGGCTACTGAGAAAGTGAATGTAACCTGAGGGGCAATGTAAGGAGAATTTTTATGAGCAGTTATTTGGTGTTTATAGTACTCTGGGTATCACCATTTATTTGCTTTTCACATCCATTTATTCTGCTTTAGCTGCCAGAGACACTGAGACAGATGCTTCAGAAATACTTAACAGCTTTTAACACTGAAGACTGGCAACTGCTTTCACAAGGTCCACACTTTGACATCCAAATTCTACTGTCATCAGAAGTTGCAAACTCCTTGAATCAGGGTCAAATTTTGCCATCAAAATTGCCATATAAATAAGGTCTAGCATAAAACATGGCATGCAAAATCTAGCAACACTAATTCCTGCTAAAGTTGGCACAGGCTATTCACTGTTTTTGCTTATCTGAACATGACCCTGCTCCCAACGTGAAGTGTCCATTTGATAGTAGACCTTTGGTTGCCTTCAGTTCCGGCTTTGAGGAAGAGACTCGGTTTTCAGATGAGAGTCAGACCCCTATTTTGATTTCTCCTCCCTTTCTGGCCCTGTTATCCCATGGTTCAGTGTCGCAGTAGGATGGACAGCATTGTCTCACTGCCATTTTTGCAGCAGGGCACTGTACTCTCCTAGCAAGTCAGAAATGCAGAGTCCGCAGATTCAGATGAAGCAAGAAGGAAATGCGTGGTCTCCTATTTCCTGGGCAAATGTTCAGAATAACAGGCTACTTCATAAAAATAGCCATTGTTTGTGTTCCTGAAGAAAAAGAGAATTGCTGAACTTGGCATTAAACTCAGTGCTGCAACTGTGAGGTTGGCATGTGTAAGGAACATGACCTGAATATAGGCCAGCAGGGAATTTGTAGACCTTCTTGCCTTATCTCTAAATTGCCAGACTCTAGCTAGTAGCTGAGTACTTTGCACTTTGGATTGGGGCATTTTAAACTTCCAGAAAACATTGGAGGACACTTCTATGATTAAGTGGCTGGTGGATTGCTTTCTTTAACGTTTGTGATGTTCCAGTCTCACCAGAAATTATTTATTTCAGTTATCCTAGGAAGACTAAAGCATTGTAAGGAATTAAACTCAGGTCTCCTGAAATGTAATCTGATTCCTCATCTTCTGGATAAGGTTTCTCCGTACTGGCTAATATATCTGTCATCCCCAGGGATGAAAAGCCCATGTTCTTACTCTTATGGTCAACAAAAGAAGAAGATAAAGGGTGGTGGCTTAACATGAATCCGCAAGACTAGAACCACATTTCAAAAAATTAGAAATTATTTAGAGAGATTTCTAGGCATCCTAACACAGGTTGAAAGAAGAAAGAAACACCATCGTCACATACACTCAGGCAGCGCAAGGTGCGTTGCAACTGAAATACACATTACGAGGATTAATTCCAAACATTCTTCTAAATTATAATGATACTTACTTGAGAGGAGAGAGAGAAGGATATTGCACTCAACTTTGCAAACTGACCTGTAGGTAACAAAGGACAGAAAACAAGAAGATGACATATTAAGCCAGTGAGCAGCCAAGCAGTGTATTATTTTGAAGAAAGCCATGCACAAGCCTAGAAATAAAGGGAGCAATTATGGACCCAGAAGATAAACCCAATGAAAAGTTTCTTGCACAACACATTCAGCACAAGACTGTGACAAGAACACAACTGGTAGCAGATGTGGGAGGGTAAGCACTGTTAGCATTTACACTTGTGCACTAAACGTGTTTTTTTCTGGTACAGATACTTGTTATTTACAACATGCTTCAAAAAAAAAAGAGAAAGAAAGAAGCCTCCTTTGAGTTTCCCTGTCCCAGATTTCCTCATGCGTCTTGAGTTTTTTGCCTGTACTTTAATACTAATTTAGAGTTTAGCTTGAAAATCTTGCTTGGAGACAAGGTGACACGAAATAACAAGAGTGGGTTTTGACCAAACATCTTCCATGCTACACTACATCTACATGTTTTTCTAAATGTGCTGCTTTTACACAAAGTGAGACATTTAACAACATAAAAATGGTTACCATATTGTTACTGAGGTTACCATTCTGTAATCTTAGTAGGAGTTCCCCCTCACAGATTTTTTCAGCTGACAATTGCATTATGATAGCTACAGCCACCACCTTTTTTTGGCTATCCAGATGAATGCAGTGTACACGTAAGTACAAATAGTAAAATAGCCTGTAATAAATTCCAATGGTTTGATGCAAAATGAGAATAGTTGACCTGGCCACTGTTCAAAAGGATACCCTAAACAGAAATTTTCCAATTTTCCTTTGTTTTTGCAAGCAGAAAGTTGTGTCTTTAGAGACTACTCAGTGATACTGGTAGAAAAAGGAATAGAATAGAAAAATACCACAAATTAACTGCCAAGTGCAGAGAACAAGTACATGTCTCAGGATCAACACATGACACTATTCAAACAACTCCTAATTATCCTACTGGTCTCTACTAACTTAATACTTTTTCTTGCTTCCTTTGAACCTGTTCCCTAATTGAAAGGGCATCAACCATATTGGGAAGGACTTCTCAAGCGTTGCATGCCTTGGGTCTGTGGTTATCAACTAAAAATAGTTTCTACTTACAAGTCACTACTGTCAAATCATTGGCTGATAGGAGCTGACAATCTCAAAGACAGTGAAGTACATCATGAAATAATTCCTTTTGGAAAAAATGCTATTAAACAGAACTTGTCTAGAATGAGGACTTTCTGTTCCCTCAGTGAACACATTTTTGAAAGAAAAAAGCCTTTCTCTTTTTCTGCTTTTTTTTCCCCTCAGTGGAAATAAATCATGTAAAACAATGGGGAAAAAAGTTCACCTGGATGTAGTTTTGGCTGACCTAAATTCAAAAGGAGTTTTATTCTGACATTGATAGGGAGAAGATTTCTTCCCCTTCTTCCGGGAATGTTGCTGGAAGACAGTAGAAAAGCTCTATTTTGACTGAAGCAAGAGTAACACCCAGTTCTATTGAGTGACATGTGTAACTTCTACTGCACAATGAATGCCCTTATTTTGCAGTGCACATGCATACTTAATTTTGTGCGTGTACAAAATTCCATTGTAACCTGTGAAACTCGTGTAACACTGTTGCCATATATTGCACTTCCATACTGTAACCAAAGTAGAGTCAAATCGGTCTATCGTTCTTTCTAGAGAAAATGGAATTTTTACCAGCAATAATAACATTTATTATTTGATGCTTGACAGCTGTCATCACTGAGGTACTCCTTCCTTATAACTGACAATTACTTTCCATTGCATCAGCAGTAGCTGCTCAACCTGTTCAGAAGTTAAAAGGCTGTCATTTTTGCCATTTCCTATCTTGGCTAAAAAATTGTGACAAAAAAACCCCATGTCACCCACTGTTTCCTTAGTAGATAGTCTATAACAATTTTGCTGCTGTTGTCATGTCCTTAAAGACCTTTGCAACAAAATTACTTTTGGCAGGCTACCATGGGCATGTAGCAGACCTAGGTAAACAACAACAACAGAAAGATGCTCACATCAACCTCAAAACTACCTACAATTTTGATATGAGTCAATGAACTTTTACAAGACTAACTTATCCTAGTAGATTTACAGAAAAGAAGACCAAAGGAGCCACCATTCTTCATTAGATCACAAGCCTGTCAGTCCCAGATTCTTGTCTCCAAAGTGCCTGGCAGTGGACACTAGAGAAAAACTACCAGAAAAAAAGGCTAGATTTTGTTAGCTCCCAGCAATCAGCAGTTTAAAAGAATTCCTGCCCAGAAGGTGCTTTTGAACCTCATTTCCATACACCTGATATCTCAGTACCTGCTTAATCCTTTGTTTTGCCCATTTATACTTTTGGTCTCTGTTATACTCTGTAGTGCTGAGTTCCAAATTTTAATTGATCATCATGTGGGAATATAGTTATTTTTGCTTGCTTCAGCTCTGCTCCCAAATAACTGAACTGGGTGTGCCCTCCTACTGACATTACTACCAACATTACTACCAAGTAATGAATTTTATATTAGGATGATCCAAGTCAGAATAATTTAAAAACTGGTGATAGTCCATTACACCAGGTAGAAGTGGAGACCATTATGCAGAAAGGACAGGATACCTACAGAATTCCAGCTCCCCCTGGCAAATTTGCTTTACTCAGACTCTTAAACAAATGACCTTTGAAAACTTCCTCAGGGAGTGTTTAATGCCAAATCCCCAGGCTTCTCTATACTAGATGCTTGTTGAATACCTGGTCCTCTGGGATACAGTTCATTTCATACCCTTTCCTCTCCTTCCAGATGCTGACAATGACAATAACATACAGACTGCACTTGAGCTTCAGTTCACACTGGAGAAACCATTATGGATGTTTTTTGCTACTGGAGAAAAAAAATAACCTGAATATAGCAAGAACTCAGCTTGACACCACCAAGCAGCCTCTGTGGTAGGGGGGAATGAGGTCTAAGTGACTTGGTAGGCACTGGCAGAGAACAAGCTCAGAGGCAATTCTGTCCCACCTGATGCCCTGGTAAGCTTAAGGATTACTCTTGTGTGCCTCAGGCAGCGTGGTCTTCCTGGATATGCACAAAGGCTAGATGCGTGCGTGTCTGTGGAAGAGAACAACAGCAGTTTTTGGAATGTGGCTGCTCTAGTAACTGAGAAGAGATCATGCCTCAGGGCCCAGGACAGGTTAAGAAGGGCACTGGGCAGCTAAGGTGCATTACTCTTTCTCACTTATGGAGACACATGGGCAGACAGTGTCCTTCTCCCACCTGGTATGCCTCATCCTGCAGCTTCTGCTTCAGGTACTCCTCCATCTTCAGTTCGTTCTCCAGCTGGCGGACAGAGTCATTCTCATAATTTTCATCATCTGCTCTGACATAGGGGTCTCCATCTTCTGTAACCCTAAAGACAATTATTAATAAATAGCCTCCTGAGATGAATGACATTCAGAGTCAATAAAACTTCCCTTTATTGTAAGCTATGAGGAGAGCGGGATACTTTTAGTCTAACCACATGCGCCATTGGTTAGCATTTTCCTGGCAGTGGAAAACACTTCTGCTATTTCCCCTCTCCAGTGGTCTGGTAGACCAAAGGCCATATTCTGCTGAAAGCATTTTGGGGATACAGCCCTAGGGAAATGAGTAACAAAATTTCTCAATAACTTGATACAAAGAGGTTGAACTAAAAGTAACTGGAAAGATGCCTATTGTCTTTGATAGGAAAATTCAGGTTCTAAAAATAAATCAGTTTGTTGATCGAGTTGGTCAATAAAAAGCATTCTGTCTTTTCCAGTTAAAAGCTTCTCTTTTTCCAGTGGGCTCCAACAGGCCCCTCAGCCTGGATAAGCAGGAAATAGGACTGCAGGGCATACTAGGGAGCACAGCTGTCCCACTGTCTCCACACTGCCCGAGTGTACCAGACTGGATGCGGGACAGCTCACTCCTGAGGGCATCCTAAGCTCTGGCCTTTACTGTTTACAGAGCTCACTACTATCTAACCATGAAGCTGTCCTCACCTGGATTTAGGCATTTTTTTGGCAATCAAATAGTTGAGAGGGAGAGAAAATATTACATGCTGCATATGGTTTTCAACAGAAGAAGAATGAGAAGAAGGTGGCGAATGGAGCAGGTACCCACATGTCACTGCGGATGGAGCCGGTGGCAGCAGCGCTGTGGATGTACCCTGGCTTCCGCGCATGGATCTGCGCCAGGAAAGCCTTCTCAGACGTTGGGGATGGCACAAGGTCATCAAAATGAGTCCGTCCAAATTCAGAATCCACATTGCTTTCTGTCTCGCTGCCCACTTCTGTGAAACAAAAGGCGACACATGGTTCCATTTAACTTTCACAAGAGAAAGTATGCTTGCCTATTTTTCTAAGCCTTTCTCTGACTTTCCAATTTAGAATGCCACCTCCTTACAGCAAATAACAGTGTATTATTCTATGTATATCTGCAGAGCTAATAGTTTTCTTCTTGTGGTGGGACAGAATAGTGAAGCTTTTGCTTATCTCGCTTATTAGGTAGGATATTTTAATGAGAATACCACAGACTGCATTTTATAACAGGTCCTATATGTTCTATACTGAATGAAATTTCTGAAGAGCGAAATCCCACTCCACATGGAATCACATACAAACTTCTCAAAGTCTTCACTGTATCCAGCTGCACCTCTACACCCATGGCTTTCAGAACTGCTGTATTCCTAAAGCTGTTATTTAGGGACTTTTTTCTAACAGCATAAAAAGCTTTGAAGCTACATTACACTGCTTTTTTGTTGGCTTATATTTTCCTACCTCCCATTTTTTCAAATATGTGTGAAATATTAATGAGGTGACTATCCACCCTCGTTAGCCTCGCTCACCAGAATTTAGTTCTTTTACCAAAGACGACATCGTGTTGGTGATTGAATCTGCTGCCACCAGCAAATCGTTTCTTAAGTTTCGTCTTGCACCTGAAGCAAGAGAAAGACAAAACACAGTGTTAATATTCTTCACAAAATATGTTGAAAGCAGTTTTAACCGTGCTGAAAGCTGCCATTGTGATAATTCAGGGTACCAAAGTCCTTACGAGGGACACGTGCAGAACAGTTCTCTGCACAATAGCCTCATTTACTTATGCTGTATGCAAGAGCAGAAGCCTACCCTCATGCTTCATTTAATCACAATGCCAGATATGCGGAGATTATTCATTGCCATCAAGCTTGCATTTGTGTGGTGACACCAGCAGACCAGGCCTGGAAGATTAAATCCAGCGTGAACTCATTTACAATGTCTGTGGGGGAGGAGGGAAGAAATGAAGTGTTTTGTCTAAGTTCCCACAGCTCTGTTTAATGACACCATTATTGCCAGGTATTTGCCACGTAATTATGGCAAATGTTGAAGAAACATACTTGACCTCATCAAGACTGATATGGATTTTTCTTCTCTGGTCCCTCTCAGCCTCTCCTGTAGCTCAAGGACTTTCTTGTATATTCCATAATTTACTTTCTCTGTCTCTCTCTCTCTTTTTTTAATAAAGGAAGCACTATTGCCTCTCTAAACAGCCCCAAGCTGCTTTTAAACTCTTTCTAATAATGGATCTAGAAGTGCTTCCCTGCTGAACCTGGCAATATTCCCTTAACCATCAATCATGAAAGATCCTTGTGAGCTGCATGAAATACTCCTTCCCTAGGAGCAGGCTGTGGGTAACGCGTGCTTAACTCCCCCAAATCCCAAACATAGCTCCTATTGTAGCTGAATGATCAATATATCCCACGGAACCTCTAATCTCCCAGAATGGATTATTCACAGGAATTGGCAGGATTTGACTGCTGTAGATTCTTTAAAACTGGCTGAATGTAAAACAATACATTTTTAAAAGTTCCCCAAATCTTAAAGAGGTTTTTTAAATATATCAATTAGCAAATGGTTACTGGAATGTAAATTAAAGTAGTTAATCTCTCTCTTACACACACACAAACACTCAGACAGTCACTCCCTCTCTAAAGTCTTCTCAATTTTGTATCTATCTCTGAACTATTGCAAACACCAGGAAAGAGACCCCCCTCGCCCCCAAGATAAACGATGCTTTAACCGTGGCTTGTCTGCATTATGTATATATTGGCAGATCTCTGTTGGTGCAGCACAGAACGGAGCCGTAAAATCTCAGTCCCGCCCCCACCAAGTCATATGTCAAGATGTGACAGAATGGCTGGCTTCAAGTTCTTTGGGTTTGACCTTCCCATCTAAAGAATATGGTAAATAATGACATAAAGCTAGATATTTATCAAATGCAGCAGTTTTAAAATGTGATCGCTAACCTTTTTATATTGTTTTTTATCTTGAACAGAACACACTTATATACTTAAGAAGCATTTGCCTGAGGCAGCCTTAGTATTATTTATGGATATTTTATTGTGGCCACTACATTATTTCTCTTACTCTTAGCTCTGGAAGAAACTGTCCTATAACAGCATAGGGGTTAGTGGTCCATATTTTTGCTTGTCTCAATTTTTTTCACAGCAGAAAGAAGAAAAATATTTCTTGCCTGTTTCTTTTGCCACAGAAAATGAGACATCCAGCACCCTGTTATGTTGGGACTGGGAATTATGCCTATGTTCAATACATGAATTGACAAGCACTTTAGCAGAAAGTTCTTGATTGCATTACAGATTCAACCTTGTCCTAAGATATACACACAGACACAGCTCCCATGAAAACCAAGGGGAAGGGTGCATGAGAGGGCTGAACTGGGCTCCTGGGAACAAACACGCTTCCACTGTAGCAGAGGAACTCCAGAGCTCCACTTACGTTTGTTTTGTACTAGGGAAATGGGGAAAAAATTTATTCAAATAAAAGAATTGCAGTGATGTAAATATTTTAGGACAGAGCAGATTAGAAAAAGAAGGAATATTTCTTCATTTAGATCACATAGACTATTTTCTTTAGTAGTCAACATAATAATGTAATTGGTTTAAAATTTATTGTTACTTGACAAAGATGTGGAAAGAGGAGTGAGAAACATGGTGCAGCCTATGGCAGTTTTCTGGAAACGCATTCATCTAGCTTGATTCCTGTCTAGTCTAGCTGGACCCTTCTCAGAGGCCCAAAGCAAAAGGACAAGGGACAACAGTCACAAGTTGCATCAAGGGATGTTCCAGTCAGATACAAGGACAAAAAATTTACACAGTAAGCATGGTCAAACACTGGAAACAGAGGCTGTGGAAAATGCATACCAGGAGCCATCCAGAACTCAACTGGGAACTCAAATGGTTAAGGTCCTCAACAGTCTGATCTCACTTTGAAGCCCTCTTTCTTGGAGCAGGAGGACATGGTGACTTACAAGAGTCCTTTCTACCTGAACTAATTCTATGATTGTATCATCTATTCCTAGCAAAGCCTTTATTTAAAACCAAACACAATGACAACGCGTTGCTGAACTCAATGGCAATTTTTCTTCTTCTGGTTAACAGAGCACTGATAATGGTCTGACCATCTTGCATTAAAATTCCCTCTTACCACAAAATCCATTATTTGTCATCATCGTCCAGTTTCTGCTTACCTGCTTGCTTTGACAGCAAAGTCTGATGGCTGACAAAGTTGATTTTCAATGGCAAAACACAGTTGTTGCAGATGGTTTTGTTTTGTTTTGTTTCATTGCATGTAACTCAGAAGCTCACGTTCATTTAGTTATTAGCCACAAGAAATAATGATTCTTCAAACAGTCTCTGAGTACCTGAGACAAGCTATTAATGAGACTTACTTTGTGCAAAGGCTTCCTGCACATCTCCTCCCACCCCAGTCAGAGAGTCCTGAGGTGCGTGGGTTGGGGTGGAGCAGGCAGAGGCAGACCTGATGGGCATTGGAATCGGCCGACTGATAGTGTGACTGGGTGAGGAACGTGGGGAGCCTGCCCCTTGGGTCTGCAAAACAATCACAAGGGGTTAAACAGGTCTTTGCAAGAGCCCTCGCCCGCTGTCCTCGTCACCCATCCCTCAGCTTAAAGGCATCACGCTGTTTGTAAATCAGTTGGGTAATGTTAATTTTGCTAAAAGAAATATACTGAAGTCAGCTGTTAGCAGACAGCAAGGCTTCTGTGTAGAAAAATACTAAGTAGGAAAATATGAGTCAAGATCTGACTTCCTTTAAGCATGGGAAAATGTCAGGCAGCTAAATTAAAAAAAATTCCAAGTTCATATGCACTGAAGTATAGACCTTCTCTCTGCCCTCTTCCCTCTCTCACTCCCCTAGTTGGCATGCATGTTTGATAAAACATAACCCCTTCAGGCTGTGAGAAAGGGAAAGATGCTGGCACCGACGTGGCTTTCAGCCTGGTCAAGGGACTGAAACAGCCCCTTTCATCAGAGCACTGCCTTGAGAGCCGATCACAGCCATGCCCTCTGCCTCCCTGCAGGAGAAGTTCACGGTATGTGTAACCTCTCAGTCACATAAAGTCTGACACTTGCAATAAATAATATAGCTTTCTGCTTTTTATTCGGAGCCAGAGAACTATTTTAAGCTGTTATTAAATCATACTATTAAATTGTTCGCTCTACAGGATATACTCAGGCACTCCCAAAACACTGTGGGGATAGGGCAATATAAATTCCTGCTATGGGTTTAGCTGCTGGAAGTGAAAATGTTTTAACACCAGTCATATAAAATGTCATGCTGTTAGCACCTTACAGTTAGTATTACTTAGCTGAAATTCAGGCAGACTTGACAAAATAGTCATTTTTACAAACGCAGCTGGGTGAGTGATACCAAGAGACACAGTGCCCTTTTCATCCACTGTTTCAAAACCCCTGGGAACGTGTATCCACATAAGGAAAAACAAATGCTGCGCCCACACCAAACTGCACACGGCTTTTGACTGAAAACCTGTGTTTGGTAGATGCCAAGGATAGAGTTGGCTTGAGTGCAACACATGCCCCTGGTTGTTTACAGTGAAAAGTAAGCTGAGGGCTGGTGTTTCCCTCACCCTGGCTCTATTTTGAGAATTCAGGAGAACTTCTTAACTCTTCCTATGGCATTTATTTTGACTCTGGTAGTGGCTGCCACTGCAGCCCTGATATGGTTTGGCAGATATGTTCTAAAAAAGACAATAGCAGCCCATTGCAGGAGGAGTGCAGCATTGCCCTTGAGATTTTTATGAATTCCTGCCCTGGACCATAAATAATGCATCAGAATACTAAGCTATTTGTTCTTTTCTCCTATCACCCCTTTCTAAGAGACATTATCACCAGAAAGACATCAAGGGCAAATTAGGTTTATGAGGAATAAGCACATTACTGATGGGAGAATGGAGGATTTAACACTTAAAATTTCTTTAATGGTTGGTTTTAAAACATTTAAATGATGGATGAAAGGGAAGTAGAATACATAAAGGCCAGATGCTCTCCTGTTTCTGGAATCATCTGTACCCACTCCAGCAGAAATGCAGATCTCTAGTCCTCCAGAGGCAGGGCACTGAGCAACCTGGAGATGTTCCAAGGTCCTTGGAGGTCCCCATCAGGGAGGGGATCTGGGATCTACAGCTATCTCCTCTGATGTCCTGACAGGGCATGTTTCATCCTCTGTGAAACAAATGTGCAAAAGAATTTCTGGTTCCCAGCTCCCTCTTTTGCTTGCCCTTTTTCCTCAGCTCCCCTTTGCCTTTGGTCTTGGTTCTAGGGGACACCAACAACAGTGGGAACTTTCAGAGAAGATGAGAAAAAAATGGACAAAATTTGCTTCCTATAGTCAGGTCACATTAAAGGAATGAACTTCAGAATAGGCATTTTATTTACTAAAAATAACAGATGCCTGCCAGTACTTCTTCACTGGAATTTTCCCACAAGAGCAATGTAAAAGCTGTTGTACGCCGGTGCTTACCCTTGTGTCTGCTTTGCAGCTATGACTGAGATCTTGTGTTTATGATAAACAGTGCTCTCTTATCTGTAGCTTTTTTGTTGGAACAAACTGTTTGGGAAGCACAGGGAAATGAAGCATTTGGAGTCCCCTCTCCAGTAAAGAACTTCTCTCTTTTTATACTATTTGGGCAGTATCAGACAGAACTGATGAACAGCAAGTTGAAACAGGAGGTTATTAGGGAATGCCTAATTTCAGAGAAGTGAACACTTCAATTATATTTTACTCATCTAGATCCACCTCAGCCCAAGTTTGTGGGAATGGAATGCTATCAGGATGGGATTGAATTCCTGCTTAGTGGTTATCAGGTGAAATGTGTTTTTCACAGGCTAGAGCTAATGGCCTGAAACCTGTGATAATAATCAGTAGTGACTTCCTGGTAATCTCAACGGAGAAATTGAGCACCGAATTGCTCCCAAACCTCGGCAGCCCCACCAGCTGAGGGCTAAGGCATGCTGAAAGGGGAGCTACCAGGGATATGTGAATGGCTTCAGCTTTTATGTTGTACTTGGTTGCATCTATCAATGTTCTCATGCCTTTTAGGAAAACTTCCATGTATTTTATTTAATTCACCATTCCTAGTCAACCTGCTATGGATTTTAAGTTAACCCTTGCTAGACAGGAAAAGATTTCCCACTATCAACTGTAATGCACGCTTAGGATAAAATGCCTGAAATAAAAACTGGCTTTACAGGAGCTTTAGCCCATTGCTCCCTCTGCCGGAACTGAATTGGGATGACATATGGGGAAAGCCTGTCACACAGCCTCATCAAACGACACGGATGTGAAGAACTCATTATCCTTTCTCAAGGAAGGGCAGGAGAGAAATAGAAAGTTCGTAAGCATTAGATGAATTGCCAGGCTGCTCATTCCAACTGAATTCCTCCAGAAATTAATTTAATCCTGTTTCTCTCAACAGATCATGAAATGGCATAGCGTAATGGGGATCATTTAATGGAAAATTGTGAGAGTAATTCTTTAGCATCATCACCTGGTATTCAGCGAGGCTATTACTCTTGGAAGAAAAAAATAATATCTCATAACAGCCTGAAAATGTGCTTTCACTTGTACTGTCCAGTGAACATTTTATATGATAGGGAAACTCTTGTCACGTGGGAAACTTCTCTTTTGTGAATGGAAGATCTTTCAATACTGCAGAATCGAAAAAACCAGCTCTTACATGCAGGTGATGTTTGTTCAGATTTATTTTTTTGTGTGCAACAGATTGATGCTCTACAAAAATTAGCCAAAATATTAGTTATATGAAGGTGAGCATTACCTACAAAGTCTGCATGCTCTACCATAGACAGAACACATCAGCCTTGTGACTGTAGTTCTGCTGATGAACGCAAGAGGAAATGTGTTTTGTTAAAATGAAACATTTTTATCAGACTCATAAATCAGACTGCTGTCTGAAAAGTGCTTTTTTTAGCCTAATATCTTTCCAAGATCCATTTTGATAATAAAAAGCTCCAAAACAATTAAATCTTCTAAAATTTACCATTAGTAATATAAATACTTGCCCTTTTTGGTCCAGGTTGCAGAAGCCATTTAGAAACTACATTATGTTCCTGAAGACTCACAGGACTGTTAACATCAGGACCGATGTTAAAAGATGTGCACACAATGCCCTGACTTTTTCTGGATAAAGTGGGGCCTCAAACTCATTGCCCTGGTCTAATTTAAACTCAGTTATGTTTTTCTTAAAGTTCCAAATTCTCATTACCTTTTCAAAATGTTATCTATAGTAGAAGTGTTCTTTAATTCATATTCTAGGTTGGTTTCACTACTTTCGGTTAGTGGTTTCCATATCTTACATGTTCTTATTTAGAAGAGTGAGAAAAAGATCAAGACTTCTTGTAGCCATGACTCACTTTCTGGAGGGCTAAGATGTTTAATTGTGAAAATTGCTCCAGGATACTTGAAAATAATGTGTGAAAAAATTGCAAAGTGTTAATTTTGGTCAAAAGAACACACACACATTTCAAGCAAAGGAAGTAAAATAAATCACAGGAAAACAATCACATTTAGGAGTTAGTGAGGCCTCCAGTAAGGAGGTAACTTACTACCTGTTTCAATTCTTCTTCCTAAAGAAAAAAAGGATCAGCACATGAGATTAGCCAGGATGTAAGTGAAGAACAGATACCAAGGCCAAATTTGGAGTACAGGGTTAAAGGTACAGTCGAGGTATGTGACCAGGTCATGGTCCCACCTCTGCACACTTTGAAACACCAGAACAGTGTAAAGTGTGCAGAAAGCTACTACCGTTTCCTACCCCAGATTCTCTTTGTCCAGGCAGTGCAATGACAGCAGGCAGCCCTGACTGCTAGTTGTAGCACTGCAGCATTTCATAGGTAGAGTGAAAAGTATACTGTCTACTTCCAGCTCCCAATAATCTGCTGGCTACTTGGTGGGCTCTGCTGCTCGGGTGCCACCAATTCCTGCATTGTGGCTGCAGGAGCCTGTGCTTGAGGAGGTGCAAATGACATAAGGGGTCAAACTCATCCTTTGATGCAAACACACGTTGCTAAATGGATTTCAGTGAAATTCTTTCTGCTGTTATCAGAGCCATAGTTGACCCAAGTTGCACTGAATTTTCCTGCACTCATTTTATCTGGCATGGCCAACAACAAAACAGACTTTCATGCCATTCAGAGCACTTTCTTCCAATGTGAATTTCTGACATCATCTGTCCTGAGGCACATCAGGTAAAATAGGGCTGGACTCTGCAAATAAAGACACATTTTCCATCTTACCCTAGCCTGTCTTAAAAATGCACATGCTTTTTGATATCTTCATTTTTAACTGAGATCCTTTGTTGAGGCATGTTTCGTTTGTTTAACAAGGGCTTGTTTCTTTATTTATGAAAATGACCAAGTGCTGTTGGGGAAGCATCTCTAAGATCAGAGAGTTAGATGTGGTTGTCAAATGGCATGTCTTACAGAACAAGCAACTGAATGGGCAAAGTTAAAGGAACTAGCAAAAGCAATTCTGTACTGTCAGCTGGAGTAGGTAATAGTGTACAGCGCTGAGTTGTTTTTCTCACAGTTACTAGTTAACTTGGTTTACGTGTCAGTTTGTTTCTTTTCTTATGTTTTTTTATGTGATGTCCTCAACAGAGAAAACTCTAAAAACACCTGAAACCAGACCACAAAATGTTTTGTGTTTGGACATGTCGAATGGTCGATCCAGAGATTGCTAGCCTGAAATCTAGAGATGCAGCCAAATCCTTCTACAAAAGAGCAAAACAGGACTGTATTGCATCATGCTGCAGTATTATTTAAAGGATTGTATTAATTATTCAATAGTTCAGAGCCTGTCTCTGATGTTCCATCCACTTAGCAGTAGGTGACAACGGTGATGCAGTTTTACTACAGGAACATCATCTGAGCATCATTTGAAACCCCTGAATTGAAAGACCAAGGCAAAATACAGAAAAGGAAGGAAACAAAGCCAAATTTTATGGGTGAAAATAGTCAAGTTCTGCAGAGTTCTGTCATCATATCTCCTCCCTCTCCTCTCTTGCCTCACTCTGCCTGTTCTCCTTGGTAGTATGAGGTGGAGCTCCTTACCTTCAGCAGTTTCATGAGGCCTTCTAACTGAACCATAAGCTCCCTCCGGCTTTCCTGGAGAGCAGACATCCTCTGTTCCAGCTCATCCTTCCGCTGTCTGAGAAACAAGCAGATCTGATCAGAGCTTACCCCTCACAGCGTCAGCAGCTTTTAACTGCATCGTTTCCCCAGCCTGACTATGAGGTATATGCCTATAGATCGCAGGAAAGCCAACACACTGTATGAATTCAGCATAGTGCTTAGAAATGGGGCTACATGAAAGCTAGGGAGTTCCCTCATACTGAGAATATTCATGGGACTGAATATAGTGATTAGGAAAAAGACACTGACACAGACCTTTCTCCAAAGTACCAATGAGGTTCAAACAAATTGGTGCTACATTCCCTTGTGGGAATGCCTGGCAATTTTTGTCTTTGGATCTCTCTAGTCAATAACCTCACTAGCTGTCATGAGAAATTAAAGCCATGCCCTGAAGGACATGAAATTACAGCAGGGGCACTGAACAAAGCGAGATATCAGAGAAGCTAAGAGAGTTCAGAAATTCAGCCAGAAAACCACAGTGATCTGCTTTTGTTTCTGTTTTTTTTTTCTGAAAGCAGGAGTAAGACTGTCACATAGTGGAGATATAACTGCTTGAAAACACCTCTTTGGACTCGGAGTCCAGTGCTGCTCCTGTGACAGTGTGAATACTGAGCCATTTCGAGTGACAGCCAGTTTGTGCCCCCATAAATGGGAGCAGCTTTGATTCTGCACAGCTCCACTGCACAGGACGGGGGTTCAGCACTTGCACATGTTCAATCACTAAATTGTGTGAGAGGTTCCCACATAAATACAAAATAAAATTGCTGCCTCCTGGAAGCCATGACATAATTAACAACATTACTGTTGAAAAACATACATATTAGGTGCATTTTATACACTACTAGGTTGCTAATAACATAAAACCACTATGTCATTAGCCTTGTACTACCTACAAAATATGACAATTTAATCCTAGATGGAAAAGCACCACAGCCTACAAGACTAAGTACATTTCCTATATTTTGGGAAATATGAGGTTGAGCCTCCTCTGTAAGTGAGAAGTTACTGATATAAGCAACACTGATTTCTACAGGATTGCTCATGTGTGCTCTCTCTCACCTATATAATAGGATCATATAGTAAAACTGCCAGGTTGTATTTACTCTTCTGGAGGATTAATCTATTTTCTGCTACAAATTGCCTGTGTTGGCTTTTCTTTTCCAGGCATGTAATGGTTGGAAATGCTATGAACTGTACAAAGGCAACTAAGTTTAAGAAACTGCTAATTAAAAATAAGATACCCTATCCATGTAATTTGAAGTGGCAGGTCCTAGCACAGACCTCTGCTGAGTTTTAGATTCATTCTACGGGGACAGAGGATCTAAGCAGCGTGCAATGTACAGGCTGCTTCTCTGACTTTTTTCTCCTGCTGTACTCCAGAGCAAGTTCTCGGAAGCAATGGGCTTTCCAACCTGTCTGCAAGACCGCCCTGGTAATATGAAGGAATGCTGTGTTCAGAATCTCATTTCGGCAAATGTGCAACACTACAGCAGCTAGTGAAAGATGCTGGGACAGGTACCCAGAACATAATTTACAGATTCCAGCATTTCTTAGTATTATATGAACTAAACTGCCCTACTCTCCTAGCTGCTTCAAGCCCCCAAAATCTGCGGGGTAACAGACATAAATCAGTGCTGCTGTTCTGAGTCCTTCTGTTTTACACATGATAAGAACAGCCTCATGACATCTTAAGTGTCTAGGAATTTGAGGCGGTGTTGAAATTCCACAGAAAATCAAAAGCCAATCTTTTGCCTCTCAAATGCTCAACATTTTAGAAGGTATGCAAAGCAGCACAGACCCACAGATTAAAAGTTATTTTCTGACTCTGACGCTGCATGTTAAATCAGAAAAGATATCATAACTGAGGAACTCAGCATCACTGCCTAGGGACATCCCATGTCAGGAAATTCAAATAAGGATATTATGCTTTTAATATGTGTAGCAAAATTGAAAAGAGGGAAAAATTAAGTAGTCAGTCTGCTAACACTGCACAGTCATTTGATTTTTTTTTTTAAGGATAATGAATTCTATTTGTCAACTACGTCATAGAAAGCTAATCTCCTAAACCTGCTCAAAATAGACTTTAAGCTTGATGCACAGGAGCTACATTATTGGTATATTTTATGTGGTGTACTCACTTTCTTCACAGTCAGTTTTATATGTCTCACAGAATGTCACTTGCCTGTAGATATCTAGAAGTAATTACATACTAAAATCACTTGTAGAAATGAAGAAGCTAATTTGTCTTCAGATTGGAAAGGAAATGATTTGTGAAACAGAAAAATATTTTAGTGTGAAAAACTCCATAGTAAACCTATACAGTATTTGTAAAGAAAAAATTTAGCACAGTTTCTTACAGTAACTTCCCTTGGTTATGAATCAGACCACTAAAATATTACTTGTGTGAGGAGTGCTAAGTGTTCCTTAGCCTTCTCATGAGAGAACTGCTCTATGCAGGGGGATAAAATTTAATCTAGCATTATTTCACTAGAAAGAAAGTGTTTGCACCCTATTCTCTATTCACATGAAGTGTTTTGAATACTTCTTACCGGATTCTGTCTGGCTCTCACAACATGCATGTCAGGACTTGCAGGGAGCCTGCAGATCTGGGCCAATGACTATTGTACTTCTTCAATATGATACACACACCAATTAGTAAATCCATGTAGAGCATCCTAATTAACATTCAGACACATCCATATCAATGTTTTTAGCTTGGTGGGATAATTGGAGAAACGATCCTCCAAATCTTCAGCTGCTGCAGATGACATTACTCCTCACTTCCCACGTGACAAGGAGGATCATTCTGCAGCCTGGTCTTGCACCATGAAAAGAACTGACCTCTCCTTAGAGTCCAACACATGGGGGAAATTTCCAAAAATGAATGTCTAATTCTGGCTGTATTTTCATGTAGTTCTTTATTTACTTTAGCATAAAAAAGAAGTCTTTGTAGAAGCAGTTGTTCTGACAGAACGATATTTTCCCCCATATAATTAATGGCATTTGGACAGTGCTGTGGGGACCTATTCCAAATGACCTAAGGGCCTAACTCTGCAAACAGTAATGCACATGCTTAATTTAATGTAGATGAGTAATATGTGAGATTCCTCATGCATGCTGTTTAAAGCATAAGCTTAATTACTTCTAGGACCACAGCCTGCACCAAAAATGGACAAAAAATACACATTGTGTTATTTACTTTAAAAAGCCCCCAAAGCCATAAGCCGGGCTTATCTCTTATTTCTTCTCTTACTGAGAACGACTGGCTCGCCCCAGTCATGGCCAGAGGTTTTACTGCTGTGGACTTACCTCAGGAGCCGGAGCTCTGCAAGGAGAGTGGGATTTTGTTGTGCCTTCTCCGGTGTGGGCTGAGACGCCTGCTCATGTTCAAGTCGCAGCCTCTGGATCTCCTGTAGGATTTCTCTTGGGGAGGAGAATAAGCAGAAGAGTCCAAGTCAGTAATTTTACACAAAACCAGCTCACTGGACGTCTCAAGAGGAGAAAAAGTATGATTGTACGTAGCTCTTCATCAACGTAGATATAATGACTGGGCTCCAAGCAACAAAAGAAGCCCTCAGCAATCGGAGAGGCCTCTGGATATTTTTTGAATAAACTTTTAGGATTTTACCATAAAGGGAAATATTTCTTCAAGACCCCCAAAAATCAGAGGTAGACATGAAATAGCTCTATGCTTAATTAAATTGCTCCCTTTTAATTCTTCCCCATGAACATTTCAAGCACCACGTGAGCTTAACAAAAATTAAAATAACCTATCTGGCCTTTCTTGAGTATCAGAGAAAATATTGAGCACTTCAAAAAATACTTTTAGTGTAAGAAGAGATGTGAGAGCGGTCAACAATTCATGGAGAAGCACTTTAATAGGACTTGCCAGCCCTGGAGCGCTGTCAAAAGGCTAATACAAAGCTTTGCAGCAGAAGGTTGACACCTTCGTGCATTTTGTCTCTTCTTCACAACGTGCTGGATAGCAGACGGTCAGGAGGCAGCCTCGAACTATGAAAGACAAATCAAGACAGGAGCTGGTGGCTCATCACACAGTGACAGAAGGCAGTGCAGAGTTTGGAATAGGAAACCATCTGGTCTGGGCTGGCCTCTATTTTACAGTCCAGCAGTAAAAGCAGAGCTCTGCTGCCATATTTCATGGCACCAGGCAGTCTGATACCCAGGGCCAGATCCTCTGCTGCTAACAAACGGGCACCACTCCTTTTTGGGGTCGGCTAGCCTTTTTCTCCTGGACACTCTCTCTCAGTCTCGGTCACATCCGTACCTAGTGTCTCATTTGATCAGCAGCCTAACTTGCTGCTAACCTTTCTGCAAACCTTTCCCAGGCAGACTGTGTTCTGGAGAGCTTTAATCATCTTTTTCACAAATAAAAGCAGGGGAGCATAACATTACCAGCGTGACTGATCCTTTTATTGTTTCATGTTATAGTGCTCCAGAGGATCCAACTCAAAGTTAATCTGGGTTTGAAACAGGACAGGCTTTTTTTTTTTTTTTTAACTCTTAACAAACAGCAGCTGGAAACAGTAAAGTATCGATGATTGCATCACGTCATTGAACAGTACACTCATTAAAACACAGGGTAGCTATGGATTTCAAAGCCTTTGCTGTATTCTGTGGACCTTTTTGTGCCCTGTGCTTTTCCTAGGGGGAGGTGTAAGTGCATGTATAAGCACATTGCACAGAAGTAGGTGGTAAAAAATGTCAGGAAACAAACAAACATACACAATATATGGGACTGAACAAAACCAGGTACTTTGTGGATGCTTACCGGTTTTTATTTTCAAGCTCTGCAATCAGCTGCCTTTGTTGCTTGTTTGCATCAATGGTGAAGGAGATATCTGATGCCCCTCTCTGCTGACCCTGCTGCTGTTGTGAAAAAGAGAAGGCTGCATTGAAGGAGGAATAGCCAGCATGCACCCATGAGTTCAACACATATCTGTTCTGTGAAATCTGCTTACAGAAAATGCAGTAGCAAGCTTGCCTACACTAAAAAAAGAGCATCCATATTGTGCTCACACCAGTATGGCGCCATTGCTAGTAAAAGCAGGGTAAGTGCTAAAGTAAATAAGACTCAGTGTTTACCATCCTGTCATTCATTGCTTCTTCAAGGAGCTTCCTCTGAACCGATTGTAAAAGGCAACGGCACTGCTGCAGGCAGTTGCTGTAATATGGCTCTTAATTTTGATACTACAGACAAGAGGAATACACTGAAGCAAAAACCAGTGTCTCTCTCCAAAAAGAAGGGGATGTGTTTCCAGTGCAGTGATGCTTTGTTCTCTTGAAAGTAGGGTTTTACTTTCAGTTTGAAAGCTGTACTCAGTTTTCAGTGTGGCTGCGTGGCCCATTTGGCCAAGTTTTCCTATAAACTCTGATGGTACTTAAGAAAAACTCTTTCCCCAGTCCTTCAGGTACAGCAGAACCTTTTTTTCCCAATAGAATGAAGTGGGAATTACACTATTTCTTACCAAACTAGGCAGTGCTCACTACAGCTTCATTGGACTATGCTTTTTTCATGTTCACCAGCAATAACCAAATACTGTTCACACTCCTGTATTTCAGTTTTGTATCAATGACAATGCAGAGCAAGACATTTAAAGTTTCACAGCTATCAAAGATATCCATTTATTTCTAACTCCAACCTGAAAGAATCAGACATTAAAAAATACTCTGCTGAGTTACTGCTGTGATCTGAGTGTTTCTCACTGTAAAAGCCCTGTGAAGTGTAAGTCTGGAGCCCAATTTTATGTGATGCCAGGCACCTCCTCCTCCAGGAGGTGGACCCTCAAAAAGGATGAAGATAATCTCAGTGCAAACCTTTGTTAGCACTGTCTGTGAGGAAAGGACAGTACCTTACGCCTGTAACCATTTTTTCTGCTGTGGATACATTTTCCCATTAACACTCCAACCACAGTGAAGCAGAGCAGTGCATAAAGAAGAACTGATGCACACTGGTGGATGTCATGACTGATACAGGGGGAATCAAGATCTTTATCCTGAATGCCCAGTGTTATTAATATATTTCATTCCTTAAAAAACAGAATGACCGTCAGCAAAGTTTTAAAAATTTCCACTGTGCTCCTAATGTGGTACCACTCCTGTGCTCGGAGAGATCTCTGTATACAGAAACCTTTTCTTTTCCTTCCGTCTCTTTTGTTCAAAGAGCACAGACAGATGGCAATGAGAAATTCAGCATTTTCCTTCAAACCAGCTCTATTTAAAAGCTACTTCAATATTGTTTCCTAAGCTTTCCCCCATATCAGGGGCACATGTTATATGCAACTGATTTCTACCAGTTTCTACCCAGTGACATTATTAACCGGAAATCTTGTTCCCATAAAGAATTACCATCCTTCAGAAACAGGACCATCACCTACAGGTTGCCTTAAATTTGAAACACTGTGCGTCACGCCTCTGGAAAGGATTGGTTTGGGCTGGGCAGGCAGACCAGGAGCACCCCAGCACCCCTGCACCCTTTTCTTCCCCCGCAGCTGCGGGTAGTGTGAAATGTTCCATGACAGATGATTTTCACTAAACCATCATTTATGGTCCCTTGTTCTATCAAATGTGCTGAGATGGAAAAAAGTAACTAGGCTGACCTTATTTGTGCCACTTAGGATTTTATATGCTTCGATTAGATTCCTGCTTCATTCTCTCTTATTCCTGAATATAGTTAGTGAGGTTTTAGCCTGTCATCACCTTCTATCTTGGGATACATAGAGCAGAATAATCATTGCTCTGAAATGAAAATGGGAGCCAGGGCTAATGCAGGGGGTCATTACAGTCACCCTGCTGAAGATCATTCTTTAAAATCCTCAGCACTTAGGGCCCTAGTGGCCTTGATATTTGAACTAAAGAGTAAAATGGATTCACCACCCCATTTTCCCACTGCAGTAAATCATTAACCTTTAACCAAAGCTAGTCCAGACAAGATTTTCTAGTCTTTCCCGAGTTCAAGATGTCAGATTCCCTTTGCTGTAATTGTTTAAATACCATTGCATTAGTATATAGATTGTATGCATTAGTATGTGGACTCTTCGTTTTAAATGGACTGCATAAAAGTGTTATTACTGAAGCATAACAATGTCTGATGACAAGGATAGGGAAAAATAATCCATTAATCATTAAGACTGTCAGATGTAATTTCCCCGATCTTGCCAAGCCCCTGGAACACGACAGAAGGAAAGTACCTTTTTTTAATTAAAACACTTACTGATGAAGAAGTTTCTGCTGCCAGCCTTGCTGCATACCTGGCGATCAGCTTGTGTTCTTCATCCAGGCGACTTGCGCTGTCGAGCACGCTGCTTAGGGTTGGAGAGGAAGGAGGGAAGACATGTTAATACATGGTAAAAATGACCATTGCTCTGTCACGCTGTCCACTCACATACCCTCATTACAGAATTTAGAAGCAAAATGTTGCCAAATTAACAACAGCAGATGTTAATTGAGCAAAGGGGAGAAGTGGGAGCATAATTTCCCTGGAAGGATCAGCTCTAGGGGCCAGGCAGCACCTTCCCTTAGGGGGAAACAGCAGCAGTCTGGAACCCCTGCGATGTGCAAGATGCAACTTGTAGACTGCTGTGTTCAAAGAGAGGTGGGACGTGGTTAGGACCACCAGTCAGCACTTGTTTTTCTTCTCAGCTTTGTCATATCACCTAAAAGAGTGATTACTTTTTGGACAGTGGATGAGCAGGAACCTCAGTGTTTGTTGAGAAAAACTTTAGAAGCTTTGTCAGATTTGCAACAGAAAACAATATTTAGGAAAGTTTTGCAGGGCACTTATCACGGACCACAGTTTGGAACCACTGATCCAGGAGTTTATAATCAGACTTTCTCTTTTACTCTTGGCTTCTTGATATTTGGGAGTAAGATTTCAGAGAATCACATAATGGTGATCAGAAAGTGCAAGAACTAAACAGCAAATATGCTGAATTCCTTTAAAATATTGCAACTTATTACTTGTATATCACCACTGATGCCAGACTTAGACTCACTTTACCTTGGGGCTGTCCTGGTTTTGGCTGGGATAGAGTTAATTTTCTTTCTAGTAGCTGGTATAGTGTTATGTTTTGGATTTAGTATGAGAAGAATGTTGATAACACACTGATGTTTTCAGTTGTTGCTAAGTAGTGTTTAGACTAAAAGTCAAGGATTTTTCAGCTTCTCATCCCCAGCCAGCAAAAAGGCTGGAGGAGCACAGCCAGGACAGCTGACCCAAAGTGGCCAAAGGAGTATTCCATACCATGGGACGTCACGTCTAGTATATAAACTGGGGGGGGGAGTTGGCCGCAGTGGGGTGGATCGCTGCTTGGGAACTAACTGGGCATTGGTCCGCGAGTGGTGAGCAATTGCATTGCGCATCACTTGTTCTGTATATTCCAATTCTTTTATTGTTATTATTATCATTACTATTTTCTTCATTTCTGTCCTATGAAATTGTTCTTATCTCAACCCATGAGTTTTACTTTTTTCTCCCTGATTCTCTCCCCATCCCACTGGGTTGGCGGGGGGAAGCAAGCGAGTGTCTGCGTGGTGCTTAGTTGCTGGCTGGGGTTAAACCACGACAGGAGCCAACTCCTGCTGCCAGGATGCAGGAGTCTACTAGCACAACTATGAAGAGCTTTGGTCACGTGCACAGAATCTCCATAAAAATTACTCAGAAAGTGTAAGAACTAAACAGCAAGTATGCTGAATTCCTTCAAAATATTGCATCTTATTACTCCCCCCCCCCAAATATCAAAGGCAAATATTTCTCTCAGGTTAATCCCTTGCCAGCTCTTCCTATTTTAAATGGAGGCTCTTATTTAGTCAGATGAGCAGGAAAAAGGTAATATAGTGAGAACAAAACATTTAGAAGTTTGTAGAGAACCATCAAAACTAATAAACTGACAAAAAATGAAATCTGAAGATGACTTTGTTGACCCTGGATAATCCTGGTATTTAGAATCCTATATTGTATTACTTTTTTAGTATATACAAAGGAAAAAAAATCAAGCCCCTAAGAAGAGGTGAGAAGAATGCTTTGCTGTGTGGAATACAAGACAGCCTGCAGACTATCCCAGACAGCGGTAAGTCTGACTTATTTTCTTAGCCCTTGGCAATTGTCTGATGTTTTGGCTGAAGGGAGACAGGCACACACCTCCCTACCCATGGACTCTTTAGGGCATGCAACCGGTTGCTGGTGAATGAGCTTCATGTTTCAAAAGAGTGTGCAAAACAAGGGTTATTTTGGGCATGGGCATCTGATTCTGACTTTTGCCAGAAATTGTGTCTTGAACTTTAAAAGCCTTCCAAATGAAAATGGCACTTGTGCAAAAAGTTCTGCTTTTGAAGGACTGGCATCTTTAAAAGGAAAAGGAAATATTTCTCCAATATTTCTCAGTGAGTTCATATCCCCAGGTACCTCAGGGAACTACAGTGTGCATCTTTTCATTGGCTTGATTAAGTCCACTGGGATTTAGAAGCTATGTTCAAAAGATGAATAGTGGTTGATATTCATTGATCATTAAACTAAAGCTGGAAGTCATGTGGATTTGTTACGGCTTGCTGAGGTAAGGGAAAAGAGGCAAACATCATCTTTTTCTCATTCTGACAATAACCTGTGAGACCACAAACATGAAGTTCAGAAAAACAGTAAAGCTATGAAAAGTCAGACCCAGAGGGGTTCTGTGCAAGCTAAGCTTGTGCTGCAGACTGCACAGAAGACTTCTGGTGGTAGATGAACACTGACTTTTTGGGTTTGGTTATGTTTAATTTATTTTGTTACGTATATAGCTTAATTCTATGCTATTTTTGTGGGATAACTGATTTACTTTCTGAAAAGACCCAAGCTAAAGGTATTTTTCTAAATTTATACAGTTCTGCTTCTTACACACTCATGCTTACTGTCCTGATATGTCATCCAGAGAACAAAAGGGGCAAGCAACTCTTGCAGACACATAAAATTATGCAAACCAGGTAATAAGGGTTACTTTCATGACAGTATAATTAATTTTTAATTTTTCCATAAGGATTAAAACATCACATCCTAACAGATGGCCATGCAAGCATTCAGCATCAATTCTCCTTTTTAGAGCAATGTGCAACCATATTATCCATCCTGGAAAAATAATGGATTATGGTTCCACTTGTTGGCATAACACAATCTGCAACATAGTGCTGAGATGCGAGTTAACCCCTGAGACAATGACTTTACTGAACGAACCAAGCCACCGCAGCTTTTTGATTCTTACTTGCTATTTAATGTCTTTGATATATATTTATGTGTAGATGGATGTCATAAAACAGATGTAACAGCATGTCAAATTTGGTCTATGAATGCCACAAATCACTGGCCGCAAAGCTTTGTAAATTAAATTTCAATGTCTGAGATATATTTAGTTCTGGAATGTACCTATTCTATGTGATCATTAAGCACAGAGGTACACACAGCAGCATCAGCCTTGACTGCCAAGATTTTTATGCCTCAAGAGTTCTGATTTGCCATAATTTACTTCTGTTTTACTTCAGCAACTTCACAGACTATGATACAGTGAAATACAAGCTTTAAAATATTATGAATATGTGTGCAGAATTTGGGACCCTCAAGAGAATGACTCCGGCATCCTTTTGAAAGAAACTGAACATTTTGCATACAAATATCTTGCTGCTGATCCTTTTCTTTTAAAAAAGTTAACCAACACTTAACACTGCTGCTCCATTAGTGACCATTTCTTTAAAGACTTTATAATTATTAGCACTAATTGGTCTGGCAGAATTATCACCATTCGGACGTAGAGTGAATATCCAACATTATCACCTGTACAATAGGACTTCTTTTTCAGGCTTTAGTTGATCTGTGTAATATTCTGTGGTCTAAGGGAGATCCATAAAAAAGGCATCTCAAAACTGCAGGCAAAGGATGATAGCTTGTGAACAAAGGAGTGATGTTGGAGGATCTTTGCTATTTCTCAGGCTTTAGATGTGTCACACCAGCCTGTTCTGCAGTAGGCACCCTGCAATAGGGGATATGGATGTCCCCTGACGGTCTTAAAATTATGTAACCGCTGGTTAGAAAAGTCTCAGAAATGTCAGTCTTGTGAAATTTTTGCCATAGAGATATCAGCGTGGTCTTCATGACATGCTCTTATTCTACAAACCTTCACTTAATAAATAATTTACTATAGTAAAATACCAACAAATTAAAGGGTAGGTTTCTAAGCATCAGGGCTATAAGAACAATGTCCTAAGAGCAACAAACCAAATATATCCTGAGGATTGTTTATCTGTGGCATTTCAAAATTCTCCTGGTTTAAAGGTACTTTAAACTGAGACACATCATCTGAGCCCTCTGCTATTGTTAATTTGCCATTTGCTTTACAATCACCGAGATTTTACCATCAAAATGTTAGTAACACTCAGGTATGTGGGTATAATCATACAAACTAACTCCATTCAAGGGAGCCAAATGTCTATACATTTCCTCTGTAATCAGTGGGTCTCTGAATGTTTTTCCTCCTTCAAGGGAAGATTAGACCAGCCTTCCTAGCCAGAGTTAGTTGTTGTGCACACCTCCTTAATAAACAATTTTAAAAACACCATAGAATAGCATGGCACTTTTACAGTACGGACATATGACTCATCACAGTACTACACAGTATAACATAAATCAGAAAATAACTTTCTATGGAACAAAAATAACCTCCTACTTATAATATATTTTATCATATTTTCTTCTGTACCTGAAAAGAAAAAGACTGAAATATGTGGACTTAACATTCAAAACTAGGTAAAATCTCTAATGTATATGAACAAAAAGGAAAACTATTTGCAGTTAAAAGCTATTTTTTAGAATCAGACACTAAAGATGAACTAAATTAAGTACCGAGTATTGTTTTTACATCCTAAAACACACTGTACCATTAAACTAATCAAAACATGTGGCCCAGGGATACTTTTTCTCCCCATACAGTTACTATAAATAATGAATTAAGTCTTTCTCTTGTATCTTAATTTGCCCTAGAGGGCTGGCTTCTAAAAACCCCTCAAGCAGCTTATTAGCCTGTGAGGGATGGAAAGGAAAACTTGTACTTCTAGTTGCGGTATCAAATAACTGCAGATGAAAAATAAAGATAAGCAGTGAAAATTAATTGAATGAATTAAAAAACCCCCCAAATATAAATACTAGCTACACTTAAAACAGAAAAAAAGGGACACTGGGCTATACCGGACTGATCATTAACTGCTATAAATTAGCCCGACTCAGTATCTAAAAAAACCAACCTTGTTTTGTTTTGAAATGCTTCTATATAGCTCTTAACGTAATTTTATGTATTATGCTCATGAGGTATTTCTGTTGGTTTTTCTTGGAGATGAAGGTCCAGCTACAATCATTCCTCTTTCACCTTTGGCTGCCAGTAGCACTTGAAAATTTGTGATGGCACATATGCATATGTACACGTGGTATTTTGCAGGCAGATAAAACAGCTGAGCTGGCTAGCTGCAGCCTCCCCTAAATCAGAAGCTACCTGATTATGGTTAACTACATGCTTTACTCAGGTTACCAAATCTCTTTAAGCTGCAGCCTGAAATAACTTGAACTCAGCACCATCCTAACATAGCTGCGTGGGTTTTGAGCAAACCGTATCCAGCCACTTCAGGGCATGGGCAGGAGGAGTTCAGCTTTGCCTGAAGATGCCAGCCCAGGCTGCATGAGATGCAGCAGCTGAGCCTCCTGCAGAAGCCTCATCTACCTCTCCTGCAAAGTGGCTTCACACAGGAGCTTCAGGATGGCAACACCTTGTTTGTTCTTGTCTTTGCCAAAATCTAACTTTTCCCTTTCTCTACTAGCAGTCTCTTTTGCAACAAAGCAGAAAGTGGCAATGGAGCACGGTTTGATGCATGACTAAGACCGCTGTCCATTTCGGTTATGCCTCTGTTAAAATCTAATTGGTATCTTACATAAAGAACTGAGATTGTTTCTCACTGAGGATGTTGTGACTGCAGTGATTTAATGTCAGTAATCAAATGTTATGTACTATGCTTTGCATTGGTTATTTAAACAATTAAGGCCAAAATGGAGTCACTCTCCATTCATCCCTCAAAAACATTAAATTTGAAGGATGTTATGGCACATAATTTGTACGTGTGTATTTAGAAACAAATGCATGATGACTTGGTGAGGTTGGCCCAAACCTTGAAGGAAGGAGTTGGAATATATCGGATAAAATTTAGAGGATGAAGATGGTAAAGATGAAGCTAGGCACTCACAAGGGGAGCTAACTGGTGGTCCTCACTGAAGCTAAATCAATTGCAGACATGGCATCCAAAATGCCATGCCTGGCAAACCAGCCTAGCACCAAAAATTACTCTAAACCACGTCCATTCTTTGCTTGCCTCTTGAACAACCATATCAAGTGAGTCACTTGTGGTAGGCAGGGCCACGTTTCCTTCTCCCTGTCAAACCAGACTGAGTGGTAGCGTACTCCTGTCCTCGATCATGGATGGGCAATGACTGGTCCACACACATGCTCCAAAAGCTTGTTCTCACAGCCACGGTGTAAATATTACTCAATAAGTCTCCTTTCTGGAACTGCTTCTCTAGGAATGAAATTCCCCTTCAAAATATTTTTGGTTTGAAGAAATGGTTTTCATTTTTCTTACTAAAAACGAGTTTGCCTTTTTTTTTCCCACTGGCACATTCTGGTGGGCTACAGAGCGGAGAAGCCAATCCAGAACAACAAAGACAGACTTTTTTTTCCACTGGGCACGGCAAATTACCCCTATTTTCAGCTGGAGCTACACACAGAAGGGAATTTTGTAAAACTGCAAAAAACCATTGCATTGACCCTCCCAAATGAAGTTGCTTGTTGCCTTCTACATATAAGAGTAAATGGAGAGTTCTCCTAAACTGGGAAATATTCTGCAATAGCAGTAGAGGAAACCAAAGGGTTTGTTATGAGCAAAAGAAACCTTGTGAGCATAGTTTTGTTAGAAACACTGTACAGTTTTCTGTTCAGAGTGACACTTTCTAGGGCCATATACTACACTGCTCACCACCTTGCTGGTACAGGGCTGCAAAGTCTAGAGTTCTGTTGCACTTGGAGAGGAAGCCAGTGTTTCCCCTTCCCGGGGTGGTCTGCTGCAATGCCACCATCCGTAAGTGCTAGGAAAGCAGGTGGGTTTAGTAGACAAAGCTCCATATTCACTCCAGCAGAAACAATGAACTATGATCGAGACAGCCATTTAGAAACCTGTCATATCTCTGAATGAGATAAGGGCAAATTTATATACAAGATTCAAACAATGCAGAAATAAGGCAGATTTAAAAACAATGCCTGACGGGTAAAAATTGAAATGAACTCCTTCCTTCACTAGGTTAATAACAAATTCCTATTATTACTGTTATCATTATTCACGCACTATTACCATCTCTTACTTTCAAGGTAAGGTGAAGCTACAAATTATGTATCACCTCAGAAATTACTACCTTGAAAATGTGGACTTGTTAGTCATCATTGTATGCAGATTTCTGTACCACCACTAGGTCCTGCACTGACTAGAGCACGCTATCCCAAATCAATTCGTGTAGCCATTCTTAACTAAGCAATTATTCCCAATGCCTTGCTACTTAACATCACTAGAAAGAATAACAGCAATTGCCACAATCCACCAACTTTGGGAGGACATACCCCATATTCATATGCATTCCCTTTAGGTTAGTGCTCATAAAGAGCTGCTTCAGCTCGTAGCCAGGAGGAAACAGTGAGAGCATTTGGCCGACCAACGTCCCTTTCCTGGGTTCCCCAAAGGTGCCAAACCTGCACTAACCGTGCGGGGTTGCTCTGCAGCATGTTGACATACAACCCGATGAGTACATGTTCATCGGCCAGCCTGTCTGCAACATCGAGGCTGTACTGTAACCTGGAACGGGGTCGGGGGGAGAGAGGGTGCAGTCCGGACAGACAGAGGGAAATAAACAGAGAAAGCAGGAGCAAGTGAGATTGTGAAATGGGAATTTAGGAACCAAAACTTCAGCGTTCTTAGGAAAGCAAAACAAAACAAAAAAACCACAAGCGCAGAAATTATTTTGTTATGATTGTAATTTATATGTTAAGTATTTAATGGCTTAGGAGGGTAGAATCCCACTCGATTACAGTGCCAGCCTCAGAAATCAGTGAGATGCCAGATCGGGCCAGGGACTGGAGCTGTACAGTACCATTTAATTTGAAAATACAGCAGATTGTGAGGTTGGCACTATTTGCTTTAATATACTATGTATTACATATATACATTAAATATACATATGTTACAGACATGATTAACACACTAAAATCACAAGTTGGATTTGCTTGGAAGTGTCTGATCAAGACCTCACACATCCAGATGTACGTAAAAATATTTAAACATGCCCTACTTAGCTCACTGGGTTAATTGGTTATCACGATTTTCTCAGGTAAGATGTTTATAGAATACATTAAAAGTGGGAGGAATAGAGGAAAAGGTTTTGGTTTAGCTGTGTTAGTGAAGCTATGAACATAATCTCTCTTTAACTTACCCTTTGCCTTTCAAAAAAGCTGGAGCAGCCCTAGCCAGCAGTTTGCTCTGCTCTACTTCAGTACTCTTGGAAGGAGAGCTAGTTAATAAGACAGGAAAACTAAGAAGAGGGTCAACAGTGATGTCTGAAATTAATTACAGAACAGAGTTCAAACTCATTCAAGCGCCCTGGACTGAATAAAAATAACAGTAGAAGCTTTAAAGAATTTTTAGAAAACTTCAGGAATGTGAAGTCATGAATTAGAGTTTTCCCTCTGTTCTCCAAAAGCAAACTATAAAGCCTTCACTACAGAAAAGACGAACAGAATGTGCTTCTCTGACAAATGGAGAGCTGAAGGCTTGTGTAGTTTCCAGGTGGAGTCCAAGATAAACATCATCTTAAACACAGCTTTCAAGCTGGGAAAGCTTCACCGTAATAGCTAAATTGCTTTTCTCCACATTTGCCATAAGATTGTTTCAATAATCTATGGAAATATGCTTATTTAGATCCAGTGATGGGATACACCAGTTTAATTTTCAGAAGTACTGTTCTCCTGTTGTTTCAAAAAAATACACAGTTCATCAAACCCACTTTTTTTTCCTAATTACAGTTTTTAATAGATTGCAGTAACTGCATCTTTCCCAATGCTAAAATCTCCATGTTATTAAGCTAACACTGGCTAACAACAGAAGAGAATGACATGTTAGTTTTTCTTTCACGCTGCAGCATTTTTGGTTTAAAAAACAACAAAGCAAACAAAAATATATTTTACTTTCTTCTTTTTAAAAATTATTCACCTTTATTTTTTGGTTTAGCTACTGATAGTGTAAATGTCTGATCAAAAGATGGGTGTGTGAGCATGTATGCACCTGTCCATCCAGGTGCATGTGTGTATAGGCAGATGATGTTGCACAAAAGTGATTCATGACAAATCTGAGCAGATGTGGCTCTGATGGACTAAAGATCAAAACCTTTAATATTAGGACAAAGAAGGAATTCAGTAATATGAGGTGTGTGCCATTCCACTCCTTCCAGGAGGTCAAGGTTGGCAGTGGGGTTCTCAAAAGGATGGTACCAAACAAAGGGTGTCCTAAGAACCTTCGTCCTATTGATTTATAATAAATCTGGAAGATAGCTGAATGAAATGCTGTACTGCACAGCAAGAAAAAATGCTTGCTTCACATTTCTATGCCCATCAGCATGCTACTTATGTGTGCTGCACTTCCACTGAAGTGATATCCACGTAGATAAACATGCTCCATGATATCTAGAAGGATATGTTTTCCAACCATGTTTTCTTCCCAATTACAGAAGGAAAATGCATTCAGGGGGTACAGGGTGTGCCACTTCAGCCAAAAATGCAGCTTTTGGTTCTTAAAGTAAAGATAAATATGTTGCTGCAACAGGAGACCAAAGACCCCAGGGCAGATTTTGTGCTCTGCTTTATAACAGTGCAGTGTGATGCCTCCTCTACCAACCATAAGCTCTCCTCACCTATGCTCCAGAAGCAACATAGTTGGGGTGGAGGGACAGGCAAGCAAACGTTACTCATTGAGCAATTGATATCATGTCTATCAATGTCTGTTTCCTTCTCAGTTGATTCAGCAAACTTGTATCTTCCAACCTCTTCTTATGAGTCACATTTTCTAAGCTTTTCTGATGTCTGGGTGTCTCCTCTGGACTCTGTCATGCTGAGTAGCACATTTGTCCCCATGTTGTTGCCCTACACTGGGTGCAAACCTCCAGGCAGATGTCTCCTCCTCTAGGGAATGAGTTTTAATGGCTTTCCACATGATGCCCCAGGGTTAGATGCAATCTAATAATGGTATTGCTGACTTCAATTAGTTTGTGGCTCGCTGCAACTGCTAGGTCTGCTGTTACAATATTTCTGTCCATCCAATTATGCTCCATCTTTTATTTGATTATTTGCTTCCTTGCTACAGCACTTTTCACTTATAATTACTGAGTTTCCTCTAACTGATTTCAGATCATTTGGACATCAATTACTACCATTGCAACTGAGCTCATTTTTAATTTAGAAATTGCTCTCCAAGCACTCCTTCCCATAACTATTTCAACCTTTGTACCATCTACAAATTGCATACACTCACTCTGTTGCTCCCAATAGGTCATTACAAGAAATAGTGCATAGTGTCTGACTTCGGATAGCCTTCAAGAATCCCAGGTGGTTAGTCCTCCTCTTAGAATGACAGCAAACTTTTGAAAACATAATTACTGATTTTCAGTGTTGCTCTTATACTAATTTTGCCTAGTCCATACCTCCTCTGGGTACTTCCGTGTCATCTGGGACTATGTCAAAAGTCCTTTTAAGGTTAACCTGTATCATCTCTGCTACTTCTTTTTTACCCACTGGACCAGTTATCCTGTCAATGAAGTAAATTAGTTTGGTTTGACATAATTTGCTCTTGACAAATCCATGCTGGTTATTTCTCATTGGTTTATTATCCTCCAGGTGCTTACTAATTCTTTCATAATTTCAGTATCTTTGGATACCAAGGTTAGGCTGTCTCTTGTATAATCGCTTTGATCTTTGTCCCTTTTTCTGCCTTCAACCTTCCTTCATTGGGAAGAGCTGACATTTGTCCTTCTTGTTCTTCCGCATCTTCCTACATCCTCCACATATTCACCAAATACAGCTAATATGTCAGAGATGGTTTTGGCCACAGTGAGTTTCTCTGGGTCCTAGCAACTGGAACATATATTTTAAAGATATATTCCTGTTAAAATGGAACACTTAGTAAGACACCAAGGAATGCTTCCCCATCCAAATTAAGAGACAAAACCTCCAACTCTGAGCAGACGTCTACAAAGATGTAGACCTAATAATATTGGTGTAAATGTTATACCCTCTTTAGTGTCTACCTGGCTACTAAACAATCAGATATATAAACATTTCCTTTAACAGGTAGAATATTGCTGATGAAATAAGGAAGATTCTCATCTTGTTCTGAAAACAACAGACGAAGGCAACATACAGTTCAAGTCTACCATGCTCCTTAAAGATAGAAACATGGACAACAGCAGCAACAGTATGTTTTGCTCCAAAGTTAGCTGTTGTCCAGAAATTTGGCCTAATCTGGTGCTATGCCCAGGTAGAATATCCAATTCTTTTTAGCTTTTGTGTGGAGTTCAAAAAAGGCACTAGCTACTCTGACTCAGCATTAAGACTCAATTCCTCCTTGGCTATGGGCATTGATACCATAGTGCATTCTTTCCATCTACCACAGAATTGCCAAGTAATTTCAAGATCAGCAGACTGTGCTGCATCACCCCATTTATTCCAGTTTATTACTCCTTTAGAAGAACTAAATGTATTAGCTGGGGGGGGGGGGGGGGGACGGGACACGAGAAAAATGCAAGAAAAAACATTGTTTCATCTTATCCCACCTTAGCCCTATAATTTGATAGCTTAAAGAAGACATTTATTAAGAAAGAGAAGGATATTGTATCATTACTATGGTAGCTATGTAATTTAAGGCAGCACTAACAGACTGAAGCTGGGGAACATAAGAATCCAAATAAGGCAGAAAACATTAATTCAGGGTATAGAATTGTTCCTTTTGACTGGACAGAAGTTTCTATAATGCTCAATTTACCTGTTTTGACATAATATAGCCAATTCATTGGGTTTGCAAGGGCATTACCTACTCTGTAGCAATATTCCCTCTTTCTGCTGCCCTCTAGGTAATCTGAGATCACACACACACAAAAAAAAGAGATTAAAGCCAGAATATTAGCTACAGTAAAAAAGTTACAGGACTTGTGGTTTTAATCACATATTAGCTGTCAACACAGCAAATGACTATGATTTGGTATTTGGGAGAAGATCACAGATTTTTTCGTTTCTTCTTTTCTAATGTAAGTGCTTTAAAGTTGTTCTTGAGCTGTACAGAGCATATTGTTGATAACATGCTGTACATATTTAGACAAAAGGTGCTTGTAATTTTTATGCCAACCTCCTCATGAAAGCTCTCTTATGGACATGGTGGCTCAAACTAAGCAAAGCAAGCAGGGAAATTTTAAGGGATTTTGATTCTGAAGTGGCTTGAAGAAACTAAGCAGCATCTCAGGGAGAGCCTGAATCTGACCTCCTTTGAGCTTTGGAGTAATTGTGTACCCATCCATAACCAGTGTTTCAGATGCAATTAAACTGCAAAGAACATATAATGTTCAATCTCCTTTCAGCTGTTCCCCATAATTTGTCATTGTATTTACTAGTTATCGAAGATCTTTCCTCTAATAACATTCTTCTTCCCAGTTAATTTCCCCTTTTCACCCCTGAATCCAGAAATGAAGATGATATTGTGCTGAACTTATGAGACTGTATCCATTTCCAGCAGCAGAACGACTCAGTGTGCTGAAGTCAGCATTTCCTGCTACAGGGAGAAACTGGTTGCAAATGGTAATGTTCTTATGTCGACACAACTAACTGAAAAAAATACCATGGGAATGCTACAAATGACAGTCTGTGCCAATTCTCCCTTGCATAAGCATTCTAATTATATAAAAACTTTCTTTAAAACAGTCTGAAACCTCTGGACTAGATTGCGACACAAATTAAAGTAACTATAAGTTATCTGCAATAAAAAAACAGCCAGCAGAGCTTTTAGCATTGATTACGTTCAGCTAGAAATTTTACCCTGAGTTTGTACAATTTTTATTATAATATGAATCACGGAGCATTTAATATAAAATCAGCACAATTGCAAACAGAGCTGTCATAGTCTGTTTCTCTGATGTATGAGAGGATGAGCTTCCACTAATGAGGCCTGATTTTCCCAGGGCAATAATAACAGTAAAACCTAAAAGAATGAATGAAGATACTGTTATTAGTCTAATAGTGATTGAAGAACTTGGCATTTAGCAGAAATGTACCTTGGTCTCAGTACTTTCTTACTGAATTATAGCTAATGCTCATGGATTAATCAAAATAGAAAACAAGAAAGGTCATTACACTCCACAGTAAAAAAAAAAAAAAAAAAAAAGAGGCAAATATTTTTATCCAGTTGCATATTTCTTTTATGCAGAATGAAATAGGCTCTTCCTTTAGGTCACTAAGATGAGAGGGAATGCTGGAAAAGGGTGCAGCAGCCAGAGGCATCGGTCCAAATCCAGTGCTTGCTACATAAATGGGAAGCCTTCATTAGCTTTTGTAGGATTTAGATCTGCCTTTTCTGTGGCCATTTTGAAAAGCAAAGCAAAGGGGTCTGGGGAAGGTTATTGGCAAGCAGCAATTGTTACTGCAGAACAGTAACCACCAGCAGCGAGAGCTGCAGAAGAGGAAGAGGAGGCTGGCTGTGAGACCTGGAGTCATTTCCAGGCTCTTGTGAAAGCCTCTTTCGTTCCTTGGTCAAGAACACAACAGGCAAGTCATACACTGATGATAAAACCATAAAGGTGCAGGTTTTTTGGTTTTCAAAAACAACGTTTCCAACTTCCACTGGATACGTTAATATTAATTCTACGTGAAAGGGTGAATTTGTGCTGTGCAGAAGCAAGAGAAGTTGGCAAAGCCCACAGCCAGCAGGAAGTCTACTCAAAAGACTAATTGGAGCCGCAGAAACCCTCTAGCCCACCAGAGCCTTCCTTAAAGAATATCTTTAGTAGTTTAGCAGAATCTCTAATGATTTAGTGCATGAGCTACAGAACTATGGTGATTAGTGGGTTAGTGCTCTCATACTGACCGTGAATTGTTGTGAAGCTGATTTACATACAGCTTTATAAGAGAATGCTCATCAGCCACAGGACTGGCTGCATGTATACCCCCAAGTAACCTGAATGATTCAAACAATGAAACCTTGTTAATAGCCCAAAAAGTATACACAGAGAGCAGTGTGTTCAGAGTTGGTTGATTACAATAAATGCAATTTGCAAACATTTAGCAAGGATACTGACTTAACAGTCTGTAGGGTGTTTCTTCTTTCTAATAAAAAAATGCAAATTAAATTTATAAGAGATAAAAATAAAAATAATGAGAATAAGCTGTCAATCACTTAAAATCCTGCTACATCAATGGAACAAAATTTACAAAACTTTTAATATACAAGCAATGTAATTGGTTTACATATCAGGGTACTGTTAACTGTAAAAAAAGCCAGAACTGACTGCTGCATCATGGAAACTTTTTGCTGTATAAGGATGTTGTACTATCCACTTATAAGGAAGTCTGGGTACCTATGGTTGGGATGGGTTTATTGTCTCCTGCCTTCAGGGGATTCTCCATCAGGGAGTTTTTCCTCTAGGAGAAAAGGAATTCTAATGGCTCAGGAATCACATACATTTAATCCTGATAGTTAAAGACAGTCAGTTGCATTACTAAAGAACACAAAAGTAAAATAATCAGGAATTTTTCATATGTAAAGAAAAACAAGCAGCACAATAGATAGTGCTGTGATTATTACTGCAGGTCCCTGGCCTAAATGGCAAGGCATACTGCTGTTGAATGAGCACAGGGACTGCCTGGGGATAAACAGAAGCAACAGCTACACTCTTAAAGAGCATTGCTCTTAATGACCTGTCCTGGAGAGGCCACAAATAGATTATCCTGCCTTGCACATAAAATCCCATATTTTCCAACAACAGAAATGAATTTGCAGTTGCAGTCTCACTGTCTGCATAGGCAGCTGATCTGGTCTCGGGGGCTGCTTTGGGACTGGCTTGCAAAAAGCATCTCTATCACAGCAGCTACTTGCACTAAGGTAACACTGAGAGTTTACAGTTCATAGCTCCTGGTAACCAAGTTCATAAATCAAAGTAGCAGGAAACTATCTTTATTGTGAGATTGCAGTGTGGTACACTGGGGGTTTGGTTTTGGTGTTAAAATGCGTAGCCATGCATACCCCAAGATTGCGTTTGGTTATTTGGGAACGCTGAAGCACTGACACATACAGCAGGAACCAAGCAATAAAATGCACTCAGGGAAGACATATTGCTCATCTTCCCCAGTACAGCAGGAAGTTATTTTTCTGCCACCTTCTCATCTATGTGCATTGGTAGGCTTACATAGATTGGGTGAGACAGCTAGCAAATGCTACACGCATATTTTGCCTGTATGAGCCAAAATACTGAGCCAAACTGTATATAGTCAGCTGCAAGCACCTTTCTTTGGGATTAATGTTTCTGACACCTCTTCTCTGATTTGTTTGCTGAAGGGTCACCATATTCCAAGACTACTCCTTCTCTCTTGTAGCCTTTAATGAAAGTCTGAGTGGTTTAACAGGAGTAAGGATGTCTTGCTATATCTTGCAAGTATGAAAACATTTTCTCTTTGTTCGTATCATATCTTGCAGCATGATGCAGGCATTCCCAGTAAGCAACGGCATGTCCCAGTTCCTGTTCCCACAGCGCTGCTATGAAATGGCTTCTCACCAACACCCCATTTTCAGCCCCTATGGGAGGATGCCTAGGCTGCATGTGAGCACATTTAGTGGGACGTAATGGTTCAAATGAGAACCAAAGTTCTGTGCTCTGTTGTGAGGTGCTTGGGGTGCCCTAACTCCAGCTCTCCATCCAGATATCTCAGTATCAGTCCAAAATAACCAAGACATTTCTCTGCTCACATGTGTTAATTTTATTTTGGGTTTGTTTTTTTCTGGGGGGAATTGAAAATTGAAACCTCCACCACTCTCACATATTAGATTAGGATAAGAACTCACCTTCTGTTTGCAAAAGGACTTCCTGAGGGAACAGAGTGGGAGAAGAGTGTGTCGTTCATGCTGGTTACTGGTCGGGGGGGCCTAGAAGGCGGCAAAATACCCAGTTGCGTTAATTTTGCACAAAAGAAAACTCATCAGCAACAGTATTTACAGAGAATTAAACGAGCTTCTTGTCAAAGTAACATGCCTACTAGCACCTTTTGCTTTAAGTAGCAACAGTTCCAAATTAAAGACGCTGTGTTTTTAACCAGAAGTTGATAAAAACACACTGTTACTTAGGCCTGGAAAGAAATAATGCTTTTGTGTGGGCTGAGGTAAGCAACTTGCTTGATTCTTTTTCCTCCTTTGGCAAAACCACTGCTATGCCATTTTTTCTTTCCAGAGCCTGCAGTCCACAGTGCAGTCACTGCTTTCAACCAGCTAGGCTGAGCACTGGTAGCAGGTTTGCTGTGGCAGCATGGAGGTCTGCAGGGGGTAATTGCCAATAAATTACACATCTTTTCATGAGGTTATCCCTGGCCCTACGCTCCATGCTACCATATCCACGTAGTGACCACAGTGTACTCATACCCCTCAGCAGGCCATAAACCACATGTAGTACTAAACTGGTTTAACTGCAAAGCTTTTCAACTGGTGCATCAACCCCCCAAATCAAAATTTAAAATAAGTATCTAGTTTAAGAGGACCCATTGATAATGATGGCTTTATTATTACATTCTTTATTTCCTGCTCTTACTAAAAATGAAATGAAAAGGAATATTTCCTCTGCTTTCTTTTATTGTCTACTCTTAAAAAATATTTTATGTATAATTTTTTCTTCTGTATCCATTAAGGAGAAATTTCCCCTTCTTAATGGACTTCTTATGCAGTATTGGGCACAAGACATAGACACTCTGGAAAAACTAAAAAATGTTATTAAAATCACAGGGTTTTCAATCAGATATGAGCAGAACCTGAAGCCATATAATTCACACTTCAAATTGCCTAGATTTCAAGTTGGTTAATATCCCTTTTAAGCTCTGTGAAAGATCTGTCTTGCTTTCTGAATTCTGCAGATGTGCAAATCAAAATATAGTAGCCATCTGCAAAATATTCACTGGTCTCCAATTGTGCAAGACAACTGATCATCCAAACCATTTACAATAAATTAAGAAAGCCAGTTCTGCACAGAAATGAACTATTACTATATGTTTTCTTCCTTATTTTGTAACTGTTAGAAGACAAGCATAAATGTGTGGTCTTTGACAAGTCCAAATGGATTTCTCAGCCTGACAATACCACATCAATTTTAAGTAGTTTAAAACTGGGAGTAGAGAGGAGTAGGATTTGGCATGTTATTTATTTATATGAAAATACAGTTTTAGCCTCACCCTGCATCTTCAGACCCGTGGGAAAAACTCCAGTTCTGGTCAGTCATGAATTTGAGAAGCAGCACTTTGTGCTATGTGTACTTATGGAGAAGTGCTTAATATTATTTTTCATGGACTCCATCAAAGCTAGGAAGAGCCTGGATGAGGCCATGATCAGAGCCAATCCACTGGAAAGGTGATTGTGCTATGAGTCTTGAAATACAGAGATTTGAAAATAAACTTCAAGAGAATACTTAGAAACTAATTTTATTTAATGGGTAAGCAACTGGTATTTTGTTGCCTGGGAATTGTAAACTGGTAACTGACATAGGAGAAATAGTTCACACCAACTACATGTGACTACTGCATTTTTCCTTTTCTCAGTGCACTCACTGGGCAGCAGACGCATTCCGAAACTAATTGGGCCCAGGCTGGGGTTTCTGAAAGATGGGTCCAACCCTGGGGTGTGGAATCCTAAACAGCGGAGGAGAAGAGAGGAGAGGCTGGTTCTCAACACTGTCCTAGAGGAGGAGGCAGGAGGAGTACTCCCTTGGCAGAGTTTGGGCTCTGCTTTGTCTTGCACCCAGTCTACGTCTGCTGATGCAGTAGGAAGAGGGTATGTGGCAGCCACTTACTTCAGCAGTTCACCACATACACACTTCAGGTTAATGTCTTGCCTAAGCTTTATCTCAAAATAGGGGTGGAAGAGAAAGCTTCTAAGCCCCAAAAGAGCTCTTTCCTTTCACTGTCTCTGTATTCAAAGACAATTATTTATTTGGCTCTGGACTCTGATATAAAGTTAAGGAATGGTAATAATGAGATTATTGCATTTTTTTCCAAACTTCTTCCTCCAATAAGTGTACTAAAGAAGAAAAATACTCACCAAGTATCTCTTTTGCAGCCAAAATGAAATGGAAAAGAGATCATTAATTAAATTGTCAGTTTAATAGGTATGTGGTTTAAGCAGTGCATTGGACATACTCCATTTCTTACGACCCTGATTCTGCAAAAAGCATGACAGCCTCTATGCATAAAAGGTCATTGATCTGTTTACATATGCAGAGTTACTATTGTGTACAAATGTCTATAAACTCCAAGGCTTTGCTTAAGTTTTGTGACTAGCATTAGTTTGTCAATTCTCCTATGAAGGAAACTATATTAAACTAATCCAAGCTTTTCCAAGGCGAGTTTCTTAAAGGCTGAAGCCCATTGTCACATTCCTTTGGTTCAGCTTGAATATCAAATGGATGTTCAAACATACATATACAATTGTGTGATGTGGTAAGACAAGAACAGCAGACATTATGGTAAAGCAAAGGAAAACTCAGCTATTGACTATAAATGTATATCTTTCTGAGGTTATTTCTAAACTTCTGGAAGTGCGTGATTAAGCTTTCTGATAAAAGTGAGCTGATGATACTCAATCAACTTTCCCCAAGGAAGCAAAAACCACTTAATACTATTGAAATATGCTATGTAATAAATGCACGTTATGGCATAACACATACCCACAGTAATAAACCAAATTAAATAAGAGGAATTTTCCAAAAAGTGCTCCATGCTGGTCTAACCTCTTCACACTGATCTAAAAACCAATGCTCCCACAGGCTCAGATGGAAACGAAGTCAGACCAGTGCAGAATGCATTTGAAAAATACCTCCATGATGCACTGTCCACACCATTTGTCATCTCTGCAGTCTGGTGTTTGTTTTTTGTTGCCAATCTTATGTATAGAAAGGAAAAATGACCCCTCCGTCGGTGGGGGGAGTTCCTCCATCAGGTTAATGACACCTTGATAACTGCTTCTCTAGATGAGCCTTAGATGTGTTTCTTGCTTAATTGAAAATTTTGCGTGGCACCAGTAAAACAAAAAAAACCATGCAGTCTTTCTGTCTGGTACCACTCAAAGGTGCAAGATTGATGAAAAGGAAAGGCTGTATAGTAAGGCAGAGAGTACTTGTCCTCATTTAAGCTAGAAGCTAAGAAAAAGATACTGTTTTGTTGCCAAAATTCTTCCTTTTAATGCACATATAAAACCCTTTTTGCCTGGATTCCTGCCCAGAGCTGTTTCTCTCAACTTCCATTATGTTTAAAAATAAAAATCACATCAGCGAGAAGATATTCTCAATGAGGTACTGTAGCATATCTCTCCCTTCAGTTAATTTATGTGAACTATGCTATAGATCATGCTACCTCCACAACTTACAGGTTTTTCACTCATGTATCATTATAGCTAATATTACATTGCCAAGTTATATTGCCTTCAATCTATGAATAAAGAGAAACTCTATCATAAAACAAAATAGATGGTGGTTTGTTCTCACATCCAATCACTCTAAATTACGTCTATATAGTTAGGAAGAAGGGAAGGTGTTAAGTTCACAGCAAAGATTTGGAACAGATCCTACTCAATTAAGGTACCTTCCCCTTGCCTTGCCTAAATGCATTTAATCCATTCGCACTAGCCCAGTTTTCACTACCGTTATCTCCTGACATAGCCCCAGGCCTTCAAGGGCCTCCAGCCAACAGGGAACAGAGGCTTCTCTTTCAGTTTCATGCTCCTTGCCTCTTTCCATTTCTCTTAAGAATGGCCAAAATCTGCCCTGTGAAATTATCACTGACTTGCCAGCAGAGCCAGGCTTTTATACCAGGCACGGCAGTGGGGTAGCTCAGCAGATCCAATTCTGGATGATTTCTTCCAAAGAACAACATCCTCCTGTCATACCTCCATAAAGAGGTGCAGGGGTTTTAACTGATAGTCAAGCGTAACAGGGATTTAGCACAGGTATCTGTCAGAGATACCTTGTGTCTCAAAAGCAGAGCACTCTTACACCTTGAAAAAGTTCTGCTGTAACCACATGAGGAGGACCATCAGCATGATTTACCCTTAAAATGTCAGGTAGGTCAGACACACTTTCCAGGTGTCACACGGCCCACATTGGCCAGCATGCACTCGCCCTTAAAGATGCTACACACAAACATTCAATACTGACAAAAATAAGTCTGTATAATAATTACAGACCAGAATAGTTCCAGCAGCCGGTAATACAGATATGCAGCATGCAAATACAATTTCGATGGCTGCTGCCTGAAATGCTTCAGTCAGGGCCCCTGGGAAAATGGTTAAGATATTTTCCTAAGAAATATATCAGAATAAGAGAAATACTTTAAAGACAGTATTTTTTGAATAATTTTTCCATGTTAATTTCTTTGTAACTTTCTTCCAACCAATGTCTTGATTTTTCCTGAATTCTATGGAAAATTTAACTTTTTTTTTTTAAGGACCCAGGAAGCAAAGGTAAAACAAACTGATAAATGAAGAAATCTGAGCAACTGCCACTATGCATGGTGGAGACACTTTAGAAAAAAAAAAATCCAAAGTGATAATTTCCCCACCCTGCACAAATACATTTTCTCCCTGCTTTGAGTTTCTTGACTCCTGTAGAAAAAAAGTAGTGACACAAACTTCTACACCAAATAATAATTTTTATATATAAAAATACAAAAATGTAAAGAGAATAGACTCTTTTCAATTGACTTGGCAATTAAAGACACACTTCTCATGCAGACTCATGTAACTCTTCAGGGCTGGGTGAAGCCACAGCTCCACTAAAGCCAGTGAGAACTCTGACGCTGATTTCAACAAAATTGGTCAGACTTCATTTTTCTCTGGTGCCTTGTGTCAAGACATACCCGTGAGACACTGGAGTTGAGTCTCTAGATGACAAAACTAATGTTCTCAACATTAATACATCCCAAAGTGCTGAAACTCTAATGGATCGCACAGGTAGCTCTTGAGGAGAATGGGGACATACCAACATCACATCCCAGTATTTGGTTACATGTACATATCCCACTGACTTTTCAAGTGAACTCACACCAGAACATTTTTATACCAAATAACCCTACCAGCAAATTTGCACTTGTGATGCATTGAACTTGATACGCCACAGCTGCCTCTCGTTTTGTTCAGAGCCATAGTATCTACACTCAGTGTAAGCAACGCCTACGACAAAGCTTACTTTCTCTACAGCACACAGATACTTACACAATATGAGCCAGGTTTAGAGGTTTTTCAGGCTGGTCAGGGAACATTGGGTGCAAAGGTTCACGGCTGGAAGCACAGCTTAAAGACTTGCTAAGTGCATTAGTTAGCTTCTTAGCAGGTGATTTCTGGGAGGAACAAGGAAGGTAGAGGTAATCTGGACAAGTAAGGTGCATACTCTTTCTGCTATAGGAAGCACAAAACAACAGGCAGCTCTATAGCTTACATACCTATGACTGACATCTCCCTTGCCCCCCTCCCACTCCGAGAGTCTGGTAAGGCAAAGACTGCTCAGTTTGGAGGAAAGATTACTCTTACCTTCAGGGGCCTTTAAGAGTAGGCTCGGGGGTATATCTATATGGACAGATGCAGTTGCCATGGCTTCTTTGCAATGCCGCACTCGGGTAGTATTGAATGAAGGACAGCACAAAGTTAGTGTTGCCTGGACTGGAGCCGGCTTGTACCTCACCATCTTGGGAGTGCAAGCAGAACACATCTGTGTATGCCTGTCCACACAGATACACTGTACAGGACACCGCTTCCTTCCTAGTTGTGGGCCAGGCACAAGGCCACCATATTCTTTCCCCTTGCTAGTATTTCCCTTCTCAGCTCCAGCACCTTGTACTATTTTGCTACTGTTATAAAGCTCCTTTTCCACCTCCCGTGGCCACCGCAGTCCCTGCCACACCGGGGAACGGGGTTGAGATGTGCATGGTGAGACCTGCCCCACCATGGTGACAGCATGCCAGAAGAGGCTGACGCACTGTCACTGTCACCAAAAGATGGGGAGGGTCTGCACCAGAAGCATGCTTTTCACCCTGAAGTCCCATCAGTGAGTCTAAAAAACCCCAGTATTTTCTGCTTTCTAGTTTTGTTTGGATGCTCTTTGCAGTTGAACACTTTTCTAAGGAAGGGCTCGGAGATCTAGGGTGTCTTTTAGGGTGCGTGAGAGATTCTCAGGGCATCCAACCCACCTCTCTGTGATTCAGTCTCTCTGCCAGTAAAACAGGGGTAGTGATCCTTACACTGTCTCCTCCCCACAAAACAGCTCTACAGGCTGAAATTTTAAAATATTTTTGGAACCTAATGGAAGTGGTGTTGTATTTGTGCACACATATCCTGCATCGACTTACGACTGTAATCAAGACAATAATGAAATATTTCTGTTACAGAAATCCAACCTAAATATGTAAAGTTCAGGCTTTTTCTCTTTCATTATAAATGTGATTTCACTCTGAATTGAGAACAGTTGAGTTCCACTGCACCCATGAACACCTTTAATCCGCATGTGGAGCTCGATATGGATGCATTATGGAGAATGCTAACCAGGTTTGAACAAATGCTAATGAACTCTACAGAAAGGCAATTTCAAACTTGAAGCAAAACATTTGTTTCTGACAAGGAAACATCTGAAACCACTAGGCATGTAATCACGTTTTTGTCTTCTGCTGAGCAGAAATCTTAAGTTTTCAAATTACTTCGTACCTATAATTACAGCTCCCTGGCTACAGCAAAAAATTATTTTATAGCACAAATTGCTGTTAGGCATGGAGTCACAGCTACGTAGTGGGCACTCTCCTATTCAGAGACTGAACTCAAGCCATTTGTGTCTATGCAACAAGCAGCAATTAGGATCCACAAAAACAATTACAGACCCAGATCTGCTGGGATGCAGCGCAGGGCCTGTGTGACTGGCATACAGAGCAAACCACATCAAATTTAACCCTTGCTGGCTCCATCAACAGCAAAACATTCATTTAAAAAGTGTTAAGCTTCAGAACTTTGCCCAAAATACACTCAAAGTACTATAAAAACATGAGTTGTTGCTACATGCATAATTTTCTTTTTTTTGGTAACAATATACTTTTGTAATATTTGAGATTAGTTAGGATTTTTCTGCTGGTCGCTGGATTTGAGCCCTGAAGGATTGGGATGCTCCATGACCAAGGGCTTGTTGGAGCTTTGCTCCAGTCCATGGAGACGTTAGCCCCCAGGTCTGATGCCCTTCAGAGAAGGTTAACGTAGCTGTTGATACTTCTCTTTCAGCTGAGAAAAAGCATTGAATTATTTTGTTTAACAACAAAAAGACTGACGTGTGCTTTTCTCTACAGTAAACACTACTGTGGATCTAAGCCTGTGACCACGCTCAAATCTACAGTGCCAGGACCATCCCAAATGCTACGCATATGCTGCAGCCACTCAACTGAAAACATTGATGAATGAGCGTTAAGTATTCATCATTTCATTTACACGTAGCCAAACAGAGCAAGCTAATGATGATTTTACCGTGAGTCCTGTGGGAATGGGAGAAGCTGCCATGAGCCTGGTGCCCTGCTGCCAGCCCCTCCTGCGCTGCCCTCCCTGCGGCACGCACCGTCACAGGCGCCCCAGATCCTCACCCAGAAAAGACCATTCCCACCTCCACGTTCTCCCGAGGGCTCCCAAGGCCGGAGCCTCCCTGACAGGGTCACCGATCCAAACTGGCTGCCCGGCTCCCAGCCTCCCTGTGCCGGACGGCTGCCTGGAGCTGCGGCCAGGGGTCTCTCCGCCGGCTGGAGGGCAACGCAGACTGCAGCGAGGCGCGAGCCTTCCCTTACCCATGACGTGTACTCTTTCATTTGGTGCTGGTTGCTGTGGGAACCGCTGGCATGGCCCCTCCAGAAGCAGTCCTGACAGAGCTGGTAATTGTGACACTGCTGGCAGCGGTAGCGAAACCCCATCATGCTCTCGCTGTGGCAGTAGGAACACTCAACGGGGTGGAAGACTGTGCAGGAGAGAGAAACACCGAGCCATAAACCAAAGCAGAGAATACCCCTGCAAAAGTTTATAGACAAAGCCCTGAGCTGAAGGGCGAGCCCCTTCTTTGTTTCTAGTGATCTGCAGCGTTGGATGCTGCCTACAGCTTTGACCCATGAAAACTCGAGCAGCCGCCCACCAACCTGTGCTGAGCCACAGGCAACGCTCCCTGTGCTGGGCACCAAACCCTTCATCACTTCTGAGCTGATGCCTGCACCTCCTGCTCACAGCAGCGAAAAATGTGTTCACTGTCTAACAGAATACATGATAGAGGAAATTCATATGTGGGAAAATCCACTGCACCCTTCAGCTGCGTTACTCGGGGAAGCTGAATGTTTTGCTGTGCTGTGAGGAGCTAAAGCGACGTGCCTTGGAGGAAAAGTCAAACTCAGCTGTCTGATTACTGGAAGCACAAAAGTGTACTTAGGCATGTCATTGTCTCTTAATTACTGCTGTCTCATCTGTGCAACTGGTGTCATTTAGGTACCTATATATGGAGTTGATCACTTAGCTTTGGATGCCCAGATTTGGAAAGCCGGCTATTGAAGGGACCCATGTGGTCCTGTTCTCTGTTCCACTCAGAAGCAGACAGTAATGAGGATGCAAATCACTGAGCACACTAAGGCACCGATCAAGACATTTTGAAGCCCCTTCCTGGCAATAGTGCTATTTCTGTTCCTCTCTCTCCTCACTACAGCATGTACCCAATTTACCACAGGGTACTGAACATCTCCTTGTTCCCAGGCACCTTCTGCTCTTCTGTCATAAGGTTCAGTCTGGGAGGATTCAGATCAGTGCTGAGTGTGTCAGGGCTTGAATTCCTTGCCAGAATTTCGCAGCAGGAAGGGTTAGTTCTCTAGGCTTGGAAACAGTGTGAAGCTGGTGAGGGACAGGGATGGATGACAAGAGTTTGAGGAAGGTGGGGTGGCTCTGTAGCCAGGAAGGACTTGGGAACATCACCTTACCTACCTCGGTGCTTTTCAGTGGAAGAGAGATTTATTTAGTACAAGAACATGTACAACCTCCTCCTCCCCCTCCTTCTCTCATCAGCAAAAAATGGCTGCACACCTCCCCTTCCACCAGCCCCACCTTCTTGTCAGAAAAATGGTATAAATACTTTTATTGCCTAACAGGATGAGTATATATGATGTTTTCTTCCTCCTGTTCCTGCCACTTCTTTTTCCCTGCAGCATCCCAAAGCTTCCATTATGCTAGAGATAAACTTTCAAGGTAGCAACAACACAGGAATATTCAACAAGCCCCTTACACACCAAACTCTGAGGCAAAGTACTGGAAAATTGTTTACAAAAAAATCTATTTATCTTGCTAAATTAACATTTTAAATTTTTGTATAAATTTCCTCCATTTTTAAATCTTCCTTTTTCTAGATTTAAAGTGTTGGAATAATGACTGTCAGGATCATTGCCTCCTGATGATCATGAGCAAGAAACGCCACAGTAGGAACAAGTACACCAAGATAAATAAGACAGTAAAAAGGCAATTCTTGTCTCATGGGTTTTTTTTCTATTTAATATTGTCAGTGCTGGTCCTTCTGAACAACAGAAGTCAGCTGCATTGGAGCTGGGGAACACCTCCAGAACTACATGAGGAACTGCACAGAGTTTGTGGTCTGCAATTTGGTGGTGCACACAGTGAGATGAGAAGCACAAGCCTTGTAGTTCTGCCCCTGCACTTTCAGTGTGGCAGCACCTTCTACAGAAACAACATACGAAGAGTTTGGCTGGAGGACTACATCTGTGAGTCTGTGAACTTTTCCCCAGGTGCTCAAGAAGTTGGGAGGCTGAGGAAGCCTTCATGTTACCGTCCAGGGAAATGCGACATGCACTGTGCATCTAATGAGTTGATCTTCATGGTCCCTTTCTGTCTTAAAATCTGTGATCTACTCATTCTGGGGAAAGACAACCCTTGAGGAGAAAGAGGCATCTCACAGTTAAATCCTCATCTTTCACACAAGCAAAGGGTAAGGATGAATCTGGAGCTTCCTTTTCAGAGTATATTGTCTGGCAGTGTAGGCTTCGGAGGAGATCCTTCGTAAGAGGACCTTTTGGCTGGTATTATGCACTGCACTGGACATGCCCTGCCAAGAATATTGCATGAACAGAAACTGCCAAGCTGTTCCTTCTCTACTGCCATATGTCATAGCTAATAAAAGTTGTGGTCTTGATAGTTTACCAAATGTAAGTGTGTGAATGGATCAAGTCCTATCGCTCTTTGCTTATCCAGAGCACAGGAGGAGCGGACATGATCAGGATAATTTCCTGAGCATAGCAAAAATTAAGCCATGTTCCTGGCTGAATGACCAACAGAATTTTCTAAATATTTTACCAGTAACTGTAAAAATAGCACGTGGAGTCAATGAACCCAGTACAGTATCTCCTACAAAACCATCTAGAGAGTGAGAAAATCATCACACAGAAGTTTACTCTTGTAACTGTTTTTTTGGCAGCAGCTCTTACTTACCATTTTCAACATTTGCCAGTCGATGCAGAAGTGGTAACCACACTAGACACTGTGGTGGGGGATCAGACATGAGAGTATCCAAGAAAGTGTTTAATGTGACTTTCTTCTGCTCAAACAAGCAAACAAACATGCACAAAGAATCAGTAATTAGACATATCAAAATGATTTTATCTTGTCCTTACAGAAACACGTGGGAACAAGTTTCAGACACTGTTTGCTTGTAGCCCTGGTTTACTGAAAAGAACAAGTGATACTAGCAAAGCTTTTCTGGACTATTTTTAGTAGTTACAATGTGTACTACTGATGACTAGCAGTCCTTTTCACAAGGCTGGGTTGGAGACACCTAGCTCCCACTCACTTCAAGACTCTCTTCTAAAGTCATTGCCTGAAGATGCTCTGTGAATATGGTTGGCATTCAACTCTTCATGTTTTCATGCGTTCTGAGTACCCCATAATGAGTACAAGTGCATGTAGGGTACCACTATGTATTACCAATTTTCACATGAAAAGTCACTGCAGAGAATGACTGATGGTACTCAACAAAGAAAATGAAAGAAAATAATGACAAGGGAGTATAATTTCAAGACAAATATAGGTAAGGACAGACCATCACAGGTAATTGTGTTACTGTAATTTAAGAAACTATGCTTGTCTGTTGAGTGATGGCAACTAGTTATGGGTGAGCTCTGACTGTGGGATGTTGTGTTTGCATACACTCAGGGACTGCAACTGTTCCTAAACTCCCCACAGCTGTAAGCACTTAAAGATCTATGCCCCTTTATCTTTCAAAGAGATTTAAACTCTAAAATATCCCTGTTGATTTTAAAAACGTAATCTAGGGCCTTAAGTTTCTTAGGTGTCAGGAAAAAGTCATCACAAATCTTAGTTTATTTGTTTTTTCAGACGTATAGGCGATATTTCAACCTGAGATATCTCCACCATAAATACTTGCTCTTTCCTACATTGTATACTGGCTACGCATGGTGTGTACTAAAGTGCACAACTACTGGGTGGTCAAGGAGAGAGAATCCTTAAGAAATCAGCAACTGAGCCTTCCTTTAAAATAAAATTAAGATGCAAAAATATTGAGCCCTGTTGAGAATGTGTGCAGATATAACTTATAGGCATACATATTTAAGTAGCATCCCCATATCCAAAGGGATTGCTAAATTTTCATATCTGATAGCATAAGCTACTGCTTTAACTTGCTAAAGAACTGTGGTTACCCCATGAGGAAGCAAAACAGCAGCTATGCAGTGACATGTATCATCTCCGTGTGTTATGGAATGCTTTTAAGAGCTGAGATTTCCAGATGGAGTGTCTGTGCTGCATTTATATACAATTGCCACCAGATGTAAAGAAAATCATTATTTCTGTTTTACACTGAGTGATCGATGGAAATCACCTCACTCTGTAACAGTCTCAGGGCTGAAATATTGAAAGATGTTGGGAAATATATAAAGATATTTGTTCCTAGAAGAGAAAATACTTCAGGCTAGTTGTGAAAATGGTCTTGATTTTTAATGAACAGAAATAGCCAGAATATGAGCTCTAAATCTCCCTGAAATACTATCTTTTCCCACAATACCTGCAGTATGAAAGTCCAATCAAACAGCTACCACCTGCTTGTTGTATGAATGACCTTCCCACCCATGGAGAGTGGATAACCACTTCCCAAATAAGCATCCTATGCTTATATCAGCTCACAGAAAAGGATCTTTCTTTTGGAGATCTGCTGGGGATATTTGGCATGGCTTTGCTGACCAATGCTGCCAGCAAATGTCTGTGCTGTCTGCAGCAGAACTGAGAACAGAGGAAGAAAAGGCAGAGCAAAGTCTAGGAGAAGAAGGGTCCTCCAGTGCCCCATACTGCAGAGCTGAGTAGCCTTAAGACTTCCCTCTGCTCCTGAAGGCAGATAAGTTGGCAGCAAACATGCAACCGGTCTAAACAAGCAAGTCGATGGGGAGACAACAGCTCTTCCACAATGCAGCGGGCTTTGAATGCAGCTATAATTTAAAAACCTATTTGCACCAAATAAAGCAACTTAACTTCACTGACAGCTTTATGGCCGAACTCCTCTGGTGGTCACTGATTTTATGGATTAGAGAGAGCAATGTCCCTTAAAAGGACACCAACAAAGCAATTTCCATACATTTTAAAAGGCATATTTTTCTCCTGCAGGTTTTTTTCAGCTGCTGGGAAAGTTGAAACTGAAAGCTGTTTTCTAAATATACACTACATGCAGATGGAGTCTAGGTTTGTGGAATAACACTTAGCCAAGTGCTAAGAAAATGAAGTTAGTGTCTATCTTTTTAGTTTGCGATAAAAAAAGAGAAATAAAAAGTGTGTTTTATAATAATAACAACACTTTTTAATACAAATACACTATAACATCACATTAATTCTACTTAAGGGGGAAGGTGGTGCCGATAAAACTCCTTTTTGAGCCAGAGATTTGTATTCTGAAACATTAAGTCACTTGCTCTGGCACTTCTGTTCCATAAATTTGCTGATGAGGAAACACTTGTTTCTATTTTCAATAGCCATTCAATCTAGCAGTGGTTCACAGATGGAGGAGAATACACGGTTTGATCAAGTAAACAAGTACAATGGGGAATAATAAAACATTTCTGCAACAGGAAAAATCCTTTCAAATGCAAACTGAAATGGATTTGACACCGTAAGCAGAAGACCATTCCCAGAATTTCTTCTTTCCCTGAAATTGAGGTATCTATTTATCAGGGGGCTGAAAGGCTTCTGGTAAGCAAAAGTGATCCATACTGAGAACAACAGAGTGCCAAACTTATCCCACGGTATCAGCTTTTGATAATGCTAAGAGCAATATGAGAGAGTGAAACAATGACCTATGGTGTGACTAAGACTGTAAATATCATTTATCGTCGTGTCATAGGGATATGTTGTTTTGAGTCTCATTTCAAAACTCTGGTTCATCCCTAGTGAGGATGTAATGAGAATTACATAAAGTGAATTTAAGTGAAATATTAGACTAGGTTTACAAGAGTACTTGGCTGCCTACAGATGTAAAACAGCAGCTTTGTAAATCTGCTGTGTACCTACATCAGTCAGAGACCTAACTCTCGTTAGCTTTAAGTGGAGATTGTGAACTAAACCATCTAATGCCTGTTTGGAGACTTTGTTTCTTAAGGTACCTTACTATATCTGGTCCACTCATTCGGATGCAATGTCAATGGAAGTGCCATTTCTGATGGCTGCTTTGATAGAAAATGAGGCCTGAATGACATTTTTTCAAGAAAAGAAATTGCTTTTTTCATCTTTAATAATAGCATGTCCAACATGCACAGCTTGAATGCTCTGTTGCTATGCAAGAGCACTCTTTTATTATTTTAACACAGAACTACCAAAAGTCACTTCACTATGTAAATTCTTCAACATAAGATGAAGTGCTGTCTTAAGTCTTCCTCTGTGAAACAAGACTAGTTTCACATATGCAAACATAACCATTTAAGATTATTTGCGAGATGATTCAATAAATGAATTTCAGCAATGCTTTTCAGTTGACTGGAATGCCTATTGATTAGTGATGAAACTGAAGGAAAACAAAACATGAGACTCTATTTTGCATGAAAATGACACTATTCCTGCTCCATTCAACTTATTTGTTCAACAGTATTCAGTTAGTGAATGGAAGGATAAAGAGAAGGAAAATACCACTTTATTTCTAACATTTTCCCAGTTTCAGCATCTTCTCTTACTTTATATTTATGGAATTATACAGTGTGATGTGTGGCAAGAGCCAGAGGAATCCTCTCTTTCTCCATTGGAGAAGTGGACAACCAGCCCCAATTATGGGATCTTTTGAAGTGCTAGGTATTAGCTGCAGCCAACGTACTGTACTCAGGGCACCTACAGTCTGGTGAGCTGTGGAAAAATCTCATATTTTCTTCAGGATAAATTCATTGCTTTCCTGACCCTATCATCTCAATGATGACATCTGTAAGAGAATACGGATTTTCTAATACCTACTGACTCCCATTTTCAATAAAGGTTTAAGGCAATTTTCTTCTCACTCATAAACTTCTCATGTATGTACACCACCCCTTGGAAAACATGTAGTTTGATTTTTCAGTGGGAGTTGAGCTTCGTATGGAGATGTTAAAGTCTCATATATGCTTATAGCAACAACAACTAACTGGAATGGAGGATTGCATGTCTTGGGGTATTTGTATCACCTAAATGTAAGTATCTAACTTAGGTGCTTAAATTAGGAAGTTAGTCTCCTCAGGCTCCCTGATTTAGGAACATGAAAGGTAAGATCCTGCTCTGAATCACTTTTTCACTAAGCCCCTCCCTCCTCCGTGGTTATATGGGGAACCTATAGAGACTAGCTTCCTATTGAAGGCACCTAACCTACATGCCAGAAATTAGCAAAGTGGACCTCCCCTCCACCCAGCCATGCGTTTCCTCGGCGAATATGCACTTATGTGTAAGAAAGGAAGAAAGTCTTGTCCTGCTCAGAGGCATGATTGAGATCCTGTGTCTAGGATGCTCACTCTTCATTTACCTGCTGCGAGAAACAGGATTTTGCTGACTGCTCAGTATAACCAAATGAAGGCCCTTCGAAGACAGCCGTGGGCAGCTTGAGAACCTCCCGCAGAAACATGTCATATCTGCCATAAACCATCACTCCACTGGAATCGGAAATCATTGAGAAAATATCTGAGGGGGAAAAGACAAGAAAAGGACACAGCAACTTCAGTGAGAGCTGCGGATTTGCTCTGAATTCAGTATCATCTGATTTGAACCAGAAGTGCTAAATACATGTTCTGCTTATGGAAACCTCCACTATTACTGCATCTTTAATTATAACCCCTCTCAACAGAGAACACAGTGAATGATTTATGTATTAAAAAGTAGCTGATTTTGATATTAAAATATTCCTGCTCTTTTTTTATTGTGTGTGGTCATTTTGATAAAGCAAAGTCTGATGCATGGCATGAGGCAGTAATTTAATCAGATAAGAAGGATCTAATTTGACAAGATACGCAACATCAGCTTTTTGCCTACTGCCAGCTTACCAAGTCAAATCTAAATCTTGACAATGAGTTCGTTAAGTCAGTTACTATTGTTTTGGACATACAAAGCACTGAAGGTCTTTCAAATGCATTACTTTTCACTCTTCTCCATTTTTTTTCTTTTTTGTTGATGTATAAAAATATAGCAGTTTTATTACTGCAGAGATTCATATTTCTCAGTCTTTACTTTTCCCCTTGTTTAAAATTATCCTAAGCTTAGCATGGGATCATAGACTAAGGAACATTTATAATTTTTCAGGCTGTCATGCCAGCTGCTTCATTTCCAGGAACCTGGAAGGGAAATTTTGACAACAGGACCCTGGGACTACTGACCCGGAAAATCAGCATCGTACTCCAGCCTTCGGCTGGATGGACCCTGCTCCTATTCTTAAAGCAGCCTCGGGAACAAACAGTGTTCAATTTATAATCTAAGTTCAGTCTGTATTTGAGTTTCTACATAGAAATAATATATTAAAAAATGGCATCAAATCTGGAAGACTAAATTAGCACCTAGGATTTCTACCTCTCTAATCAACAACAATTTGTAAACTCAATTTTCTCTGGCTGTGGTAAAAGGCTCAGAGGAAACTGAAGGTTGACATTAATCCTTTGGTCAAAAAGTCTGGAAAATGGTGTTCTGGATCTGAGCTGTGGACATCATAGCACTAACCAGGAAGTCTTTCATTGCAGCTGCAAGTAAACTATGCCTTGGCTATTGGGGAACTGGGAATAAATCCTGTGAAATGAGAATCTGTTCTCCAAAACAGATGGAATTAGTATGTGCCCTATGGAAGAAATATAAATAGTGCATAAATATATTGTACTTCTAAGTGTAAAATGAGAGAGATGTTATTAAAAAAAAGTCTGAAGAAATTGCTAAATGATGCTTCATGTTGTTGAACAGTTGAGGCACTTACCTGTACTTTGAATTCAGTCATCCCAAAGAAAAAAAAAAAATCCACCAATCAGAACCTCAATATATACAATTTGGCTTCAAAAATATAAAGTCCGGTGCGAAGTTCAGCCAAACATTTAGCAGGATTTACTTGGAGAGATATATATAGTGCAAAGCCCAAACCCAGCCATGAAACTGTAACTTATCCTAATTCCCTCTTTTCCTACCTGTACTGTTATCTCTCCAAGTACAACAATGATTAACAGGTAAAAAATGTCACCCAAAAGACTTACATCTTAATTTGTCCATGATCTTTCCTCCACAAAGAGTTGCCAAGGCCATTTTGACAGCAAAAACAGAAATTTTACCATGTCCTTCCCTGTTCAAAAGTAGAAAGTAGACATATTTTATATGTACATTTTATAATATGGACCTCTTTCCACTTAAAATGTATATCATTGACATGACATACTATAATGCACACTCTATGTGGATTGACATACAAAGAAATAAGATCTTTAAAATTGAAGTTTGTTTTGTGGGAACACACATCAGTACACTGTTCTGTAAAGATCTCAGAACAGATTTATTATGTATATGAAGCTCAGTGTTAAACTGTTTATCTCATTATACACTAAGGTGATGATTATGACTGCTATTTATGCTACAGTAGCACTGGAAGGCACCTACCACACTCATGGTCTCCCTACCCTAAGTGCACTGTGTATCTTCCATCCCTAAAAGATTGCAAATAAGTGCAAAAATCAACTCTGGGAACATAAGTGAAAAAGCAGAAAGGGCTTGCATGATTCCACAAGCTGCCTATTGTATCTGTTAACAAGTCCTGACAATTGCCTTTTAAATTATACACCTGACCCCCATGAACCATTAAGAGGGACTTTGCTGAAAAGTGGGGAATATACCTGCATCCAGAATGAGCAAAGGACATTTGTTGTGATATGTAGAAGAGTCTTGTCCCTGGTTTGTTCAAGTTGAGGCTATGCCTGGCTCTCTATTTTCAACTTAAAATGCATAATGCTGTTAAACCCCAAATGCATATAGGAGTATGCCTTGGGGCAAGAAGACAGTGTTTTCTGTAAACCCAGTCACTTTCAGGTAAAAATAAAAGACTCTTTTTTCTCCCTGGAAGGATCAGATCATATACTGCACTCTCAGGATGCTGTGTTCACCTTTAACACATTGCCAACTCTTCCTTCAACCGCCCTGAAGCATGCAATGGCTTAACTTTATTGCTCCTCTTGCTATCCTCATTCTCCCTCTAGTCGTGGTGGTCCCCAGTGATTACCTGCCATTATAGAAACCTTGTATATTTGAGCTGCATGAGTAATACATGACTTCACACACTGCAAGGCACTCTTAGCTCCTATAAGACCTATTCCCCCAGTTTAGGCAAAACTAAGTCCAGTGTTGACAGGAATGGCAGAACAAAAATGCTGTAACGTCCAGTCCCTTTCCGAAGATGAAGGTGAACATGCTCTCATAAGTTCATCTGCTTTTGAATGTTCATTTTTTTGGCATCCAAACAGTAAAATTTGTTTTTTCTTGGAATTCTCAGAGTCTTACTATAAGGCAGTGAGTCCACAGTTGCACTGGAGCAACTTTTATCTGTCATCCAAACTCCTCAGCATTACTTAATCACTTCCCATATGCCTGTTTAATGACATCAGTGAGAACACATTGTCATCATGCTTTAAAAAAGAGACAGTCAGCCAATATTTGTGACCTTAACAAAATGGCGCCCATGTCTCCTTCTAAATTCTACTGATAGGGCTAACGATGGGACCAGATAACAAAGTTTCGTATCATTTTTTGGAAGTGGAGTTTCTGTGACCTTCACTCTTTATCAGGGAACATTAGGTTTTAAGAGATTTCCTGTTAAAATATATATAATTATGTCTTACATAAGATAGTCGAACTGCACTGGCAATAGCAATATATAGAAATTTAGCTCTTCATCAATATTTCTGAAATTACTCTGTTGATCGTCACTCATAATTCTAATGAAGAAGATTGTGTCTGATCGGAACTAAAAGATAAACTGATTCTGGAAAGACACAGAGCCTGTGACTGTGTCTCTCTCTTTGCTAACCCCAAACCAGACTAATACAATAACGTATACATATATAGTAGACATGAATGGTATACTCGTATCAGTACACTAAAGCACGCTACACGCCTCACTGCTATGTTTATTAAGTCACTTAGACTTTAGAAAATGAGTCAGTTCCCTAAGTTTGGCTAGCTAATAATCTTTAAAGTTCGATGAATTGGATTTAGTTCTACATCAGTATAACACATGATTCTAAACAGTGATTCTAAATACTCTTTACACTCATTTAAAATTATACTTTTTGGCAGAAAATCAACTGGAGATACAGACAAAAATAAATAAGTTCACTACTTCAATAGTTAAGAAATTAATCTTTACTATGTTCTTTAATGCTAGCTTTTGTGTACTTTTTTTTTTTTCATTACATTGTGTCCTCTTTGAATGGTTTCATAAGATTAAAATCACAGTATAGGAATTTCCAGTCTTCTGTATTTCAGTCCTTCGTTGACTGGATTCTAATTTGTGTAAACCACCACCTAGCACTGCTATGGCTGAGGATCTGGTCATTTTGTATTCTTCTGGTGCGTGCTACCCTTTAGACCTTTGGGAGTTTTTCTGCACTGTTTCATCAGGAGGTTTTCACCTGCGTTTAAAAGCGTTGTTAAGAAAAATAAATGCTAAGTGGAAGCAATGGCATTATTAAGAAGCAGTGGAAGAATCAGAGGGAAAAATAAAGCCTATGTGGAAGTGCTTCAGATTTAGATTATTTTTCCCAGTAGGTTTAGTTACATTTACTAATAGGATTATATTCTTGAATGGCAGACACATATCAACTCGCCTTCAGCTTTCCACCCCAGAGCCATCAGCTTTTCCCATACTCAAATGGTTATGGAACAGAGGAACAGAAAAAGAAAAGATTTCACTTATCTCTTCAATCTCTCCATTTGAGTTGATTAGTTTTGACACTGTATTTTCTATCGGTCATTTGTATTCATAAAAGCATCACTAGAGCCAGTGTAAATTCAATTCGCCTTCCAAATATATATGTGTGTGTGTGTGTGCATACTTATACACACATGCATATATTAATATATATAACTGATGAACCGACAGGATAATGGGGCCTAAGACTTGCCAATATCATTTGGATCCAGAAGCGCCCTAAGCTATGTCTAAGCACTACAGATGCCCTTGACTGGCAGCACTAGGGCCTCACAGTGTTTGCTGCGTAAAAGCAAATGCTGAAGCAGTAGCTCACAGCAGCCTGAAGATCTCTGTTGAAGTCAGTGCTCCCTGAAAGAAGCTTTAGGCTGGTTAATGCAAAGAGATATAAATTTTACTAGTGGAAATAGGAGAGGACAGAAAATATTTTGATTTTGTATAGCACCTCTCTTATTGAGGTTACTCTTCAGATCCCTATAGAAAAGCACTAGATGCATAAATGGTGGCAACAGCAAACCTTGAAGCTGATATGCACTTAGCAACAACACAGGATGGAGTACTTAGGGAAGAGAATGATGGCCAGGGCTTAAGGTTATCTTCTGCTGCTTGGAGAAAAAAGGGTGAAAAATAACACATGCTTTTAGACACCAGAGCAGAGCGGAAGGTTTCCTCTTCAAATGCGTGGCTGCAGAGACAGACAGCATCTCCGCAGAGCAAGGAAGCCCCACGAACTGCCTGATAAAATCCACAGACCAGGCAAGGCTAAGTCCAGCTCCAGGGCCTGAATCTGCCTTTCAGGTCAGCAAGGAGAGCAGTACCAAATGGATGACACTGACATATGTCAGGATCTCTAGCAATACTCTTACTGAGACAGCCATACGGTGGGGAAAGCTATAAAGAAATAACATCACATCTTTAGAAATAGCAAATGTGTCCCATGAAATGGACGTCGAGAAAATACAATTTTTCTCATTACCTAGGTATGAAGTGGTGCTCCCCCAATGCTTTATCTTTTCCAAAAGTAATGAAATTTCTTCAGTTACTTGTGGGCCTCCTACTGCCCACAGGGCAGCCAATTCTGAAATGTCAGAGGCTGTAATTACAAATTCCCATTTTCTCAAACAGGTTTCAGAGAGGAAATTTTATTGGAATCAAGCAAAATTCTTTCATTTAGGAGAGCAAAATGCATAATGGCCAAATCTCTGAAATGCATTCTTTTGCTGGACTTCCTTCATAAAAGCTAGCTGGCCTCTATGGTTTTCAGTGATTAGCAAAGGTGGAGAAGAGCGGGAATTAAACACTTTACAGCTCTGAATAGATGGATGAGCAAGAAGTGATACTTCCAAAACAGAGACTGAACATCTTTATGTATCAAACTCAGTATGATTCAAATTGCATTTTATTAAACAAGGGCATGAATATGTGCTCTTTTCTTCGTAGAAGTCAAGCCCATCCTGCCAGATTGGGTCTGTTTCATAGCCCAGTGTTCACAGCTCCACTCACAGGACAGGTATGTCAAGGGACAGAGAAAAATCAGCTATTTTCTTGTCACTTAAACTTTGCAGCAGGAGTAGCTGTATTGCAATACTGAGTCAGTGCTGAAGATGATTAGCACAGAATATTTTACAGTCTGTTTAAAAAGAGTCTTTTTGGGAACAGCTCGATTGAATGAGGCTAACATTCCACCTAGCTGCCTAGGCTTTGATGCCAGACTGGGATGAATTTTTCAGAGGGGTTTGAACTTGTCATCTTTTTATATAGCACTTGCATGCCAGTGAAGGAAGTATGCTATTATTTCATAAAGCCAGTTAATCACCTCAGACCTTGAAGCAAAAGCTATTGCCCAATTTTAACATGCAGTTCAAAACACAAATCAGGCATGTTTTTGTCCATATTTTTTAAAGTCTGACCACCTCATTCTGCTCACTGATTTTGGTCTGTTGGGGTCTTCTACCACAAGATGCTGACTTTCACAGACTAATGGCAAATTAATTGGACCAGCATTTCTGTTTGTGAGTTTTGATTTTGTTGATTTGCAGTTTTATAAGGTTGCAGTTTAGTTTTGGCTTAGCATGAAGGAGCATCACACTCAGCGTCACGTGAAATCTTATACACTATAATTTTTCTCCACTTTTTCCTCCCTTCAGGATTAAGAAGCAGGGACATACAATTATCTGTAGGCCTAATGAATCCCCAAGGCCATGAAAAAAATCACAGCAAAAATGGGATGAAAGTTCAGCACAGGCAGTGGGCAAGCTGGCCCACATGCCACAGCAGTGCACTGTGGTTCCTCTTAAGTTTTGCTAGCCAGGTTCTAGCTCCTGAGAAGACATCTGTATTGCAGGCCTAGGGAAATACTCCCTGCTAGAGGGCAGAGAAACCTGCCAGGTTTTCAGTGGGCTATAAATGAAGGAAGCGGCTCTGTTTAAAGCTGGGAGGACGATCTTAAGCCAGCACAGTACACGTGGGGCAGTATATATTAACTAGAAAGAAATAAATGAGACAGTGGTAGGCTTATTAGATTTTAAATCACACATTAACTTGTCCCTTGTGGTCCTTTCATATATGTTAAGCTGTGGACTCCATTTCTCCACTCTCATTCTTTGCATTTCAAACGGGACATGAGAAATCGCACAAGCTTTTCTGGACCTGTTCCCAGTACAGCAGGAGCAGACATCGCTCTGCATAGCTGCAAACACCAAAAACATCCATGATCACTTAAAACAGCCTTCTCATTTATACGGAAGAGCCATTTGGTCTTGGACTACTGTTTTGGTCTCAAAAAGCTGTTCTGGGCTTTTTAGGGTTTTGGTTTTTTTTGTTGTTGTCTGCATTCATAGAATCAAATGTGATCATATTAACATTCATTAATAAATATGAAATATAATTCCTCAGTAGCCACCTAGAAACTTGGATAGCATTTCTGCAAGCCAACTGTTTCCTAAAACACAAAGCTAAGAAATAGAGGAGTGAACCCTGATCAAAGATAACAGGATTATTTTAGGGGTGACTGTCGTGATGTCAGTATGATTCACGCACCTAGTAAACCCCCTTTTTTCTGTCAGAGAAGACTGCAGTCAATTTAGTTTAACTGTCCAGTTTCTATAAATTGGGGGAGGGTGAGAAGAAGACTTCATCCTGTCTCACAGTTCCACGCCTGTTCCCCCTATATGCAATGCATTGCTTCTCTCTGAGCATGGGACCACAAGAAAAGACCTTGCTCCTCCTTCTACCAACTTGTAGCCTTCAGCAGAGAAGGACCTTTCTGCTGCACTGCAGGGGACAGGAGGGAAGGGAGCAACAGGGGAAGCAGAGACATCAGCTCTGGTTAGACCCCAGGAACTCTCACACCGTCCCTGTAACATGTAGAGCCGCCTCCCTCCCTCTGTTTCCCAGAAACAGGGAAATCTGGACCACCAGTGGTTGCTAAACCAACACCCGACCCAAAACTTCAATAATCTGAACTACCTACATACTAAAGGGCAGGGTGCATTTTGAGAAAGAGATGCTTCACTTGGATGTCTCTATCTGTGATAGGTGTCCAAACTCCCATTACAGTAGAGAGAGATCTAGTTGACACACATCTCCATCAAGCCTGAACTTAGATATCTCAGATTGCACCTGAACCTCATCCCAGACGTTTGGTGCATTTAAAATGGGTTGATAGGCAGCCAGTTCCCATCTCAGACCCCAGAGCTGGGAGCCTCCTCCTGGGTGTCTCCGTCCTTCGGGGAAGCGCATCCCGTGCACCCCCTGCTCGGAGGCAGCACGACAGACTGACTTGCTGAGTGGCGGATGGAGCGAGGCTCACAGCCTCCTCACCCCTGGGACGGCCTGGTGGGAGCCCAGAAACAGGTCAGGACCCACAGCACATGGGATGTTTTCAGGGAAAGCAAAACCGTACCCCTTTAAGGACATTCTGTTTCCCTACAGGGGAGTTAATTCCTCTCCTCCACTTTGCTGCCTTGACATCTAGCTGAGATCTTTACCCCTTTACAGTGAGCTACAAAACAAGCACGTTATTGCATATCTTGCTTACACGGTCCTGGGTCTTTCCCTGTGTTTACCAGCCAGGAAGCAGTTTGCTTGTGGCATGCAGCAACGCATGTGTTTGGCCATTTTCATCGTCCTTTAGTGTTCTTGTCACAGCCACAACGGTATAAATTAAAATGCCTGTTCCTTCTTTTATTGCCCTCGAGGGGAGAAAACTATTCCTGAAGGCTATGGTTTCACAACAGATTGGCTTCTTTTTCTTCCCCTCGGAGGGGCCGGAGGGGAAGCTGAGTGCAGCCTCGTCCAGTGGAACATCTACTTTTTCTCCCCGTTGCCATGGCGACTGAGCCACCGGCTGGTCTGGCTCTGCAAGGTGCTCGATGACACCCAGCACCGGCACCGGGGCCCTCAAGCGAGAGGATGGGAAAGAGGGAGGGGGAGAGCGGCAGCATCCTTATTTTAATGTGTCATGGCCAGTGTTTTCAGCTGGTGAATTTTCAAAATATAAGCCATAAAGAGGCAATAGGTCATCTGCATCTGTCAGACTTAACCACTGTTCTCCAAAAAGTCGGTTATGAAGATTGCAAATATTGCAGTACAGGTTGATGACTTATATATTCAGAAACTGTAACACGTACACGCAGTATACTCGTTAAGGTAAGTGGCTCACTCTGTCTCAAACTTGTCCTTTTTGTAATATGGGTCCCATGCAGTAATAACAGGAATTTCATCACCTCCAGGTCTTTATCCTATTTCTGTCATGGTCTCAAAATCATGCTGCACTGGCATGAGCCAGAAAAAAAAATTGCTTACAGCTGCAAGAACTTGCAGGAAAATGAGCTCTTTCAAAATAATGAGCTATTAACCCATGGCACTGCTGCAGAGGCATTGCAGTGGTGTCAGCCACTGGTGTGTCAATAAATAACAAGGCAAATTAGAAGTGGATGTAAATTTGTTTCTGTAGATAATTCTTCTTTGATATAAACTGGAACAAGTCTGAGTAACTGGATGAAAACACAGTTGTGCTGAATTTGGCTCGACAGAAAGGAAAGCAGAGGTCCTTAATTTAGGTTCTCTCCCTAGTTAGCACTATTCACATGCTCATTATTTGGGTCACAATTTAGCTTGTTCAATTGTTTTCCAAAGATATTTCTGGAGCAAGTAAAATCCTTTCACCAGTCAGGAGAGGAGGGAAGCGCACACAGCTAAGAAAGGCAAACTTACGGATCAAAGGCTGCTAGCAAGAAGTTGAGCAGTAAGCTGATGGATTGCTCCACGTTGATCTGGTGGGTTGTTGGCATCCGTTTGTTGAGCTGGTAGAAGATAGTTGAAATCACAGCCTCCAGGCGAGCCACATTCAGTTCGATGTTGGGATCCAGGTTGTTCAGTGCGTTTTCCCGCAAGGCTTCTATCACATTCCAGATGTCCACAAGGTGCACTAGGGGACAGGACAGAAAGAGTCAGTGGGGACACGTGCTCCTGAAAGCAACTGAGAAAAAAAGTCACCTCATCCCACAGGGTGGGGGATAACACAATCACATAGGACACGCTTCATGAATAATTAAACAAATGAATCTATTTTCCACCACTGAGAATTGAACTTGTTGGAGGAACATTAATAAGCAAACAATATATCGATATTATTAGTTGTAACGTGTACAGCTTCAGCTTGGGAAATCATTCCTCATTGCATAAAGTATTCAAATAAAAATCTATACGGAAATCACTGGAAGGTAAACATATGGTAATTGTTTTTCTGAACCATGCCTCTATGAATCCCCATTCAGAAACTACTCTTAGATATTAATTTGCATAGCAGATGGGCTTTTCAGAAGATCCTACGAATATTAAGTGCTTCACACGTACTGACATTTTGAAAATCCTTTTCAGCATTTTGTATGGAAAGCAAAATATTTTACAGAATTGTAATTGAGTCAGGGTAGACAAGCTACATTTAAACAAAGAACACTTAATAAAGCGATCCCAAAGTCGTATTTCGTATCTTCTAAATATATTTGCCAAATGATTTGTTAAATCTTTCTCTTTGATAAAGTCCCTGTCGAAGCTGAATTTCACGGGGGTTGTTTTTACCTACAAGGACAGCTTAAAGGACAGTCACTGCTCACCTTTCATACTGTACCCAAACAGAAATCTTGTTTGCCCCTGTTACTGTGGCAGTATGATCAGCTTGCTGCGGATTGGCATTTCCAAAAGCGGTGGACCATGCCAAAAATAAAAATACCCTACACTCATTCAAAATTTGGATTTAGTTCAAACCTGAACTCAAAGAATCATCCCTTTTTTTTTATCTTAAGTATTACCTACTATCCTACTAAACTGTCAATAAGGAACAAATCATGAGGTTCAGGGTGCAAATTCTCTTTTTTTACCAGGGAAACAAATGTATAGTTCTTATTACTTAGCATGACAATATGTCTTATGACATATCAAGAGCCATCTGTATGTGGAAGGTGATGCATTTTTTTGTGGATAGAGAAATTTAATTCTAATCCTCAAAATTTTATTTTTACTTGCTTGGTTTGCAGGTGTTGTCTCAGACTGCAATGTGACATGATGGTCGGATGGCAGGGAAATGTAAGCTGATAATAGATATATAAATGAAACTACATACGCTGTCATTTTACTTAGTCTAGATTTTTTCCCTAAGATTGGGTTTCTTTTCTTCTACCTCAGGAAAAAAATAATCTCCAGCGCCCTGCTACCACATGTGAAAGCCCAAGGAGGAAGATACACCATACAGGTGAGCGGGAACAGCAGCAGCAACTATTTCAGGCACTAGATAAGGCACTTTTCCACTTCTTCTTGCTGTTCCCTAGCAAATAATTGGCAAAAACTGAAAGACGCAGTTCCATCCTGACACCTAAATATGTATTTGACTGTTGTATTAAAAGGAAACATCTACAGGTGACCTTGTATGCTGGCAGGTTGTCTTCAGAGTGTCGTTCTGAATTAAGCCAGGTGGGTGGAGCATACAACCTCTCTGAACTCTTCCTTTTTGTCTTCTAGCTGGGGGAAGCTTGCCCATAAAAAATCTGGCATAGGTCTCTGATCCTTTTAATGCAGCCATTCCCATTCCTATTCAACCAGTTTTCACTGTCAAGTTGCTACAGAGGTAATCTGGGTAAAGGGGAGACGAATGGTCTCCAGGAAGATGGCCTGACCCTTTCTGGGCAGCTTCTCCACATGGCTCAGAGGCCAGGCAGGGCAGAGAGTGGAAGAAGTCACCAGAAAGCAGGGCACCGTCTGCTCCAGGACGGAAGGATTGATGAGCATTTCCCACTCTGGGTCACCACGGTAAGGCAGCCAAGAAAGAAATACAGAGCAAGATGCCAGAAGATGCAGCAACACGTGCAAGTATTTTGTGGCCTTATTAAGAGGGGAAGGGCAGGCAGAAAGCAGACGGCTAAGTGTGATGTTTCTCTCAGGGTCTAGCTGTTCCTGGCCCTGAGGGCTGTCTCTGGTAATTCAGACCAAGTAAATGACGGAGAAGGTGTTTCCACCAGCAGTTGCACCAGGCTGGCTTCTGGGTGCGAGGGTACGTGTGCACACTGTCGAACCTGAACTGTAACAATGTGAGAAATTGCCAGGCGTAGCAAACAGCAAAAAGGGAGTAATGCATATGCGGATGGCTAACCTTGACTTGCGGCTACACTAACAAGATAGCAACCCAAGAAACAGCACAAACAGGTGTACTAGCTTAACAGCACTGCTGACCAAGGCAGAAATTACTAGGGCAACCCTACCATAAATATGAATAAGGATGTCAAATCAGCAACACTGGAGCTAGTGGGTAAAGAATAAACAGGGACAGGCTGTTTATCTGGGAGTGCATGAGCGTGGTGGTGGAAAAGGGGAATATAAAGGGTAACAAATCATGTCATCAGAGCTACTCGGGGGTACCTCTCAAGCAGTCCTGCACCTGATCAGAGCGGAGGAAAAAACACAGCAATTTGACCATGAGTGTATCTAGTTTACTTCCGCAGTTGCAGGGAACTACGATGGTTTCCCCAGCATTGACAAAAGGACATCCCCAGAGGATGAACCAGACATCCGGACTCCCTAACAGTGAGAAATTAATTCCATGCAGCAATTTAACTTTAATTGCCACAGCCTAGTAGTGGAAAACTCTTGAATGAGAGAGCATGGAGGAAAACAGCTGGCCCAATGAATGAGGCTGCAATGGGGGTTGGTGTCTTTTTTCTTCACATGATCCAGTACTGATACTATGTGGCTGTCAGATTTTCATGTTGGTTTTTTTTTTTCCCACCGATATTGTATTTTTCATAACATAGTCATAAAGAGTTAGTTTTGATGATGGTCCTGGGAAGGGAAATATCCAGAGGCTAGCAGACGTGGGACTAATAGTATCAGTACACTAACACATCTGAGAGAAAAAATATTGGTTTCTGTGTTAACTCTAACCTGAAAGCCTCATAAGCTATCCTGATATTCACTGGTATGCCAGAAAGGTAGGGCACAAGACTGAGAAAATCACTTGTTGGAAATTACGCAGCCCCCCACCCACCATTAAATATTAGTCTCAAGGAACTGCTGTGCATTTGTACTATAAATAATTTTACTTGGGCTTTTTTTTTTTCAGAAACACTTTTGTTCCACTTGAAGCTGAATAAACAACAATTCTACCGCACTATTTTATTTTGCATTTTATTCATGAATTTCAAATCTCTCTACAGAGTCTGGAAAGTGGAGGAGGAAACAGAAGATGGACAAGAGCCAGACGTTTAACAACATCTACTAATTTTGAAAATATCTGCTGAAGTATCTAGCTCAAAATCACAAGGAGAGTTTGTTAGACTGCTGTACAAAAGACTGAAGTCTCTGGCCTTTACTCAAGCCACTTGTCATGGACAAGAATTCATGCACCTAAATTTAAATGTCAAAAATCAGATGTCTACTGTCAGCTGGTGATCAAGGCTCCCTCTAATGTCAGGGAAAGCAAAAGGCACCTTAAAGCAGCTGTTTGGAGCCAGGTGGGATGAACAGTGCTTTGAAGGTGCCCATATTTCTTCATTGACTACAGACAAAGCCTAAAGCGACAAGTTTACATGAGACATGTAACCTCAGAGCTGGTAAATTTAACTGAGATGAATCCCACACCTTGCTCCTTAAACATTAAGAAAAGATGTCTTTTCTGTTCTGACTACTACATGGCATAGAATAATTCAGGTTTTATATAAAATATGAATAATAAATACTTTAATCTGTATCAGCTACTACCAGATCCTGTCATAGTCACAGCCTCTTAGACTGCATCGCTCAACCGCGCGCAGATTACATCTGGGTATAGTGCCCCACTGATCACTTCAAATCCTGGGGTTTTTTATGTTTACTCACCTAGTAAGCAGACTCTTATGTATTATATCATGCTGCCAAATCAAACTATCAACACTGGAAAAGGCAGAGTAAAACACAGGCCTCTGCAAGCTTCACGCTATTCATTTGTACTATTAGAAATTTATGCCTACAGCTAATATGTTATCTGTAATCTTTTCAATGTAGTAACAGAATGTCAACCTTGCAAACTTTGCATAACCTTACATTCCTCTCATTTTAATTTTCATCCTCTCTGCTACCCATTTTCTATAATACCTGCTATGCCTATTTATTTATTTATCTATACCTGAGAATGTTTTAATCTCACTGAAGAAGGAGTATCTCCTTACTTTGTTTGCACAACATGTAGTCCAAAAAAACCTGAATCTGACTTCTACATACTACTATGATGCTAACAAGAAGAGTTTGCAGTGTAACAAACTAGCTTACAGATGCAGGAGAGCTTTCGCTCTCCTAAAACCTGCCTTACATTCCCTCAACAAAGTAAAACTCCACAAGTTTGGTTTTAACTTTTCATTGCTGTTGCTAATTTTGTTGCCTTACTCACATTTCCCTCTGAAAAGGCAATTATCCCTCAGCATGAGAAAGATGCCCTTTCTGAAATGGATTTGTAAAACTATAGAAATCTGTCAGTTGTTTCTTCAGTGTCAGCAGGTGATCACTAGGGCAGTAGGAGTAAAAGCTGCTTGTATGTAGCACCTGGGTGGTATAAGGAAATCCAAAATCATGCAGCCCAGGCAATCTTCACGGACCCGTTAGACAGGCCTCGCACTCTGTAAACAGCACAGCTATCCAGGTGTAGAAGATCTCCCTCATTTGCCTGATGTCTGAAAAAAATGTAAATTATTTCTACAAGCAATTGCTAAACTATACATTTCCCTTTAGATTTTCTGTTAAGTGATTTCTAAAGTCACAGCTAAGCTAAACATCTGCATTATTAGACCTTCTATGGCACACACTGTCTGCTAATCTAACTTTCATGAGATTAAGTAATATTTAAACACTGTCATAGAGTGTTTCATATTTGAGCATATTCTGTGACAGATAATGATTAGCAAATGC